GGGGGGGGCGGGGGCGGGGGGGGGGGGGGGGCGAGATAAACATCATCATCTATTCAGCGCTGCATGTGTGGATCTGCATCTTTTCAACATTTAACTGTTATGTGCCCACATGGCAACCAGCAGCAATACAAACAATTCAAAACGACAAAAATGTCCTCAATGGGGCCTAGGGCCCAGCGACTTTCAGCGGCCCCTCGATTCTCCGTGTATAACAAGTAATATAATTATATGGCCTAGGGCCCAGCGACTTTCAGCGGCCCCTCGATTCTCCGTGTATAACAAGTAATATAATTATATGGCCTAGGGCCCAGCGACTTTCAGCGGCCCCTCGATTCTCCGTGTATAACAAGTAATAACATAAAATTACGAAGTGAGGGGGAAAACAGAGCCGTTTGGAGGCCACGCCCACCCCACCCCTGACATTTTTCGTTTATGGGGCGTACATTTAAAGTTGATTTTTTTTCTTCCGTTAACACAAGCAAGTTCAGGCCTGTTAAATACCCGAGGCCCATGCGATGGCTCATTAGAAATAAAACAAATGGAAAACTTTCCTTAGAACAGGAGTGGCCAACCCGCGGGCCGCATGCGTTCAGCCACGGGGAAGTGTGGCTCACGGATGCCTGATTGATCTTCTTTATTTTGAGGGCCCACGATCAATGAATTCTTTGTTCAATGGCCAAAGGGATCGATGTTAAGTGAAGGGAAAGATAAAATGAATGGTATCACATTAGTGTAGTTTTATTCAGTTCTGTTTCCAGCATTTCGTTATGTGTAATAGAACAGGAGAAACGTGACTATTCCACAGAGCGTTTAAGCCAGGAGTGGCCCACCTGAAAGACTTCGCGGGACACTTTGATGGCGAGTAAAGACCGTTCGCGGGGCGCATGTCAATCCACCTTATATTAAAATCTAAAAACAAACATTCAAACACCCCGGGGGCAAGCTTAACGTTGGCGCCCCTTTGTGATATAATCATACAAATTTGTGCAAGGAAAAAAAAACTGGTGATTAGGTAATGAGTATATTACCTATGGTGTTTTTTTTTCAAACAAAGAATGAACAATGAAATTATTTTCTTAACTTGTATTTGGACAATATGAACAATTAGCCTACAGTGGACACTATGAACAGTTAGCCGTGGGCAGTATGAACAATTAGCCTACTGATGACAGCTTTTTTTCCCAAGCCTTTAATTGGATACCGCCATCTACCATATCGTTTGGTATTACGGTACACCCGACACAGCAACTGTGACTCTTTTCTTGCAATAATGCGTGGTCGGATGAAGGCCTTTAGAGCACAGCATCCCATCCTACATAGGGGCCCATAGCTAGGGACGTCGGGAGGAGGGTGAGTAATGGCCACCCAACCAAAGCGATAGCCTTACGGGGGAGTGACAAAATCGTAAATTATCGTAAATAGTTCTTTATCCCATACCATAGAAGGGGTTGGGGGGGGGGACCTCTCCTTTTCATAAATGTGACTGTGAAAAGGTGAGTAATGGCCACCCAACCAAAGCGATAGCCTTACGGGGGAGTGACAAAATCGTAAATTATCGTAAATAGTTCTTTATCCCATACCATAGAAGGGGTTGGGGGGGGGACCTCTCCTTTTCATAAATGTGACTGTGAAATAGGGCGAAGGGGGAATTTTCGGTCAAACGCAGCGAAAATGAAGATATTTAATGAGACGCCGAGCATTATTTTATGAAGAAATAATACATTCACGTAAGCGCCAAAATGCATCCGTACATTTCGAATTCATCAAAACTGTGCAGACCCCATCATATTTAACAAAAGTACAATTCAAACTCAAAGAGACTTATATGACATTAAGATATAATTTTTGAGGGGGCCCAAAATGTCGACTGCCTATGGGCCTCCTGTCGTCTTGACCCGGTATCGCTCATGTAGTATACAGGCCTACATTGCATTCACACACATTTTTAGTATTGAGAAATAAAGTTGCTGGGGTGCGTTGGTTGCTAGAAATATTATAACACATCTGGGGCTGTTGGTGGCAATGGTATATAAGGTTATAAGCCTTAATGGGTAGGGGTGGGCCAAACCTATCAATACGTGCACGATCCCATATCATCCAGTACAGCATGGGTGTATCTACAGCCTTTTAACATTGAACTGTTATGTGCCCATATCGCAGCCAGCAAGAATACATTCAATTAGAAACAATAAAAAGCGTCCTCATAGACAGAGCTGGATTAACGTGTCTTCGTAGCTGATGCCATCCTGGATATCCCACTTACATTTGTTGGAACCTTGACACATTTGAATAAAATGTTACACACTTTCTATTTTAGTACCACTCAAACTTTGTAACCGGGAAATCCTACATCTAAAAATAGAACATTAAGATTGTCCTCGCAGCGTAAATACTTGTTTTTATCATCAGCTGGGGGGGGCGGAGCTTCGGTCACAAGTTAATTTAAAAACAAATAATTTGGCTTAAATTTATTCACAATGTTCAAGAGTGGCCGTTGATGTTGTACACATTGAAAACTATTGTCATCTGGTACAATAGTGTTTGGAATTAATTAACGAGTTTGAATCATTTTAAACGAGAGAGTCATGTGACTTTAGCCGATGTGTCAGGTTTACACGATGAGGGTCCATTTAATTTTAGGTGAGAATGGTTTTTTTTTCTAATGAATGTGACAAAGACGATAGCTATAGTGTGCTGCTGTCATGTTAAAAAAAAAATAATAATTTTTTATTGGCTGAGGATTATTGTGATTTCCATGATTTCCATTGATGTGCTTCTTAAGTTTAATATTTGATGCTTTTGATCACGTCACCCTAAAATTTAATTAATTTATGTGTATTTATTAATGGTTAATGTTAAATAAGTTTCAAATATATTTTTTCAAGATTTCATCCGTACAAATAGAGACGATTACCATCAGGATTATTTCAAGTTTAATATATTGGAGCATTCAATTAGGCCATTCAGTTTTTATTAAAAAAATATTGTTGATTAGTGTAAACTTAGAGTTAGAATTTTTATTCCCCCCACCCCCCCCACTCTCCTTTTTTTCTGAGGCGTAGTTCGAGTGTTTAGAGCCCGGGGACAAGAAACATTTTTATACTCTCTTCAAGTTCAACTCTGAAACCAATCAATACAGTAGCATCAAAGCCCATGTTGGCGCCCCAAATAGTCTTGCACCTGGGACATCTTCCACCCTCTGAGCTACGTCTCCGCCCCAACACCGAATTCCTAATCATAATCAAATGTCGGTTTACCTTTAAGTTTAAGTGACATAACAAAGGTTGATTGGGGGGGGGGTGGGGGGTGGGGGGTGGTTTGGGGGGGATTGCAAGATCAAAGTAGCAACCAATCCGATCATATCTACCAGTTGCTATACTATTGATCTGACTCTGACTGATCAAGTATCTATTAATGAATTATCATTGATCTTTCGTCATTTATATTTTTAACGTGGGTTCTCTGGCCTACTTTCTGTTGAAACACAGACTATGATGGGAACCAGCAAATACTATCAGATTGTTTACGAAAGACGAGAGTGTTAGGTGGTGGCCCACTGGTACCTGCCTTGCAGATCAACACGACAGTGTGACACGAGATAAAGGAAGATCGATTAAAAACAACAACAACAATAACCCATAAATAAACTGGACCCCTTCCGCTACTGCTTTGTGAATTAATCAATAATTCTTGCCGGTCCGTACATTTTAATGTTTGAGAAGCACTGGTTTAGGACACATGACTTACAATTCTCACTGTCATCTTCTTAGAAAACGAAACAAACTTATGGACTTTTTTTTAGTGTGTTCTTATGATACGTAATAGATATCCTGTGTCTCACTCGTCTGGCCATTTAGCGTGTTATATTTAAATACCAATTAAAAAGTAGGCCTAATTTTGATATTTTTATGATAATAGATAATAAGTCTAAGTCAATAATTTATTTATTGATATTGCAAGTAGGGCGTAGTCGTAGTGACAGTAGTCTACTAAGATCTTGTTTTCGTGTCAGAGAAAATTAAAATTTGTTTTTAAACAGAAAATAGTGTGGGCTTTATAAAATTTGAATGATTTAGTTTGAAATGTGTGGCTACTGACTCAAAATGCACTGCACTCTTACAACAGTAACTGGGTCATGTTGATATCTTCACCAATACACAGCGATGTCGCAAGCATATACTACCGGTTCTCTGTGTCAAGGGGAACCACTGTGGGTAAGTAAAAGTGTCTGTGTATATAAAGTAGCCTCCCTTGCATTAATGCTTGATGTGATCTGTAGCTGTAAATGAAGTGTTTCTTTTCATGCAGTAACAAGTTTGATGGGCTCCGTTACATTGGTAAACTGATGGAACTGCTTATGTATGGGTGTATTTTAATAGTATTAATGAAGGAAAGCATCACCGGGGATCAAGCCTGAAACTGAAAATGGCGCCCCCCCCCCAATTGTTTCATCAATAAAGATAAATGATAGGAGTATCCCATCATATATATAAATATGGATAAATTACGATTTAGGCATCCTCCTGGGACTGGCGCCCGGGATATCACCCCTTCGCATGGCCCTGGTTGGAGCACAGTACGTAATGATTAATGAGCTGGAGCAAAGTAAGCCTTCTACTACCTACAGTCTAGTCTACGGTATAAATATAAACACATTAAGTGATGGAACATACTGCAGGTAGCCTAATAACCAGAAAAGTGTGGTGGAGTGGAATGACAAAGGAGGCTTAAAATTAAATAAAATTTATCTGGATTACAAACCCTAGATATCATTAACTTGGTTGCTAAATAATTCCCCTGAAAAGGCCAGATGTCAGATGTTTGTATTCGTAAAAACTTTTACGATTCATTTTAATTACAAAGGTATTTAAGTAAATAAGGTAAATGAATGTAACTTTTAAGTGTTATAACCAGTTCAAAAATGTTTATAAAAGTGGATGAATTATTTTTTTCGATTAAGCCATTTGATCTACTACACAAACACATTTTTAAATGGGGTCTGATTCGTGTTGGACCAAATATTTCATGTTTATTGCCAGGATGCTGAGCTGACCTGGACCAACAATACCTGGCCACAATTTACAGAGTGTTTCCAGAAATCTGCCTTAACATGGGGCCAGTGTGGTCTACTGTGGCTGATGGCACCCTTCTACGCCTATCATCTGTTGATGAGGAAAAAAAACCTTCAACCGATAAGATTTCTTTTCTGTGCAAAGATAGTGAGTTCATACCCATAATTTAGGAAAAATTTGAATATATTTGACAATAAAGTATTTAATTAAGATATGTTGTTTTTTTTTGGTTTTGGGGTGGGGGGAGGCTCCACTCATACAGTTGACATAAGGAGCCAAAACAATCGGTGGGTGCCGTGGATGGCCGTCCCTGTAGAAGGGTGCCAAAACAACCATGGTGGGGGGGGGGGGTGCCATAGCCAGAAATTACAATAAATTTTAGTGAACTTAATGTTTTCTTTCAATTAAAAGTTAAAACAATTGAAATAAACAAATTAATTTTAAAGTAATGCTAATTATTATAATAATATTTGACAGATAAGATTGTGAGTAGGGCTTCTTCAAATTTTTAATGATTAGTTGTCTTTTACATGGTGTAATGTTATCACTAGTTGTCTTGTTCGTGGTGTCATGCTAACACTAGTTGTCTTGTTCGTGGTGTCATGCTAACACAAGTTGCCTTGTTCATGGTGTCATGCTAACACTAGTTGTCTTTTTCATGGTGTCATGCTAACACTAATTATCTTGTTCGTGGTGTCATGCTAACAGTAGTTGCCTTGTACGTGGTGTCATGCTAACATTTGTTGTCTTTTACATGGTGTCACACTAACAATAGTTGTCTTGTATGTGGTGTCATGCTAACACAAGTTGCCTTGTTCATGGTGTCATGCTAACACTAGTTGTCTTTTTCATGGTGTCATGCTAACACTAATTATCTTGTTCGTGGTGTCATGCTAACAGTAGTTGCCTTGTACGTGGTGTCATGCTAACATTTGTTGTCTTTTACATGGTGTCACACTAACAATAGTTGTCTTGTATGTTGTGTCATGCTAACAGTAGTTGCCTTGTACGTGGTGTCATGCTAACAATAGGTGTCTTGTTCGTGGTTTCATGCTAACACTAGTTGTCTTGTACCTGGTGTCATGCTAACATTAGTTGTCTTGTTCGTGGTGTCATGCTAACACTAGTTGTCTTGTTCGTGGTGACATGCTAACACTAGTTATCTATTTTTTGTTTTGGTCTTTTAGGTGGAGGTGGGAGGGGGTTGATGGGTGGGGCACCAAGATTAAGAAGTCAAACAGGGTGTAGAAAAGCCTAGTTTTGGCTCTGCACTAGGATAACCAATGAGACTGATAGTTTAGTTAACTCATATAATTTGATGAAGGAGCCATTCCAAGTATAGTCATAGTCTTCATGTATTGAGTTTGATTTCTATGAGATACAGGTACTCAAAACCAAGTCTTTAAAAGTTGATTTTATAAATTTGTACAGAGTATTAGACATGCAATGATAAGTTTATATTTATGCTAAGGTTTAGCATTAATTAATTTGAAGTTTTAAAAATACCGTTGCAGTATCATTAATTATTGAAATAAATTAATTTGACATATTTTACATCAGTATTTCAGTATAACAATTAATCTGATAAAATTAATTTGACTTTTTGTAAACAGTTTTTCAGCATAACAATGATTGTAGTGAATGTTGTGGAGGCTATAGAGAAGTTCAGATCAGTTACTTCCCTTGTTTACAAAGTGGCACCTATCATATGGATTAGCACCATGGTTTGTATCAGTTAGATTTTTGTCAGTTTTCCTTTTTAAAGTAATTGAATTTGTCTCTCAGCTAGCATATGTACATTTGATCGGATAGCGCAGACCCTTACAAAATCTCTGGTAAATTTTAAGCAAGTAAAATACTTTATTGTAGTTAAGAATAGCCTACATTGTATGTATACATAAGCATATCTAGTTATTAAGTTAATAAAGTTCACACAGTGGACTTATCTTTAGCTGTTACGATCGTGTCATTCAGTAAGCATCTCATGAAAACTGGTAAGGCACTGGGACATAAGCTCAAGGGTATTTAATGGGTCTCTTTATTGAAATTGGGAGGAACTTGAAAATGTTTTCTATAGATGATTACATTAAGATTTCATGCATGACTGATACTCATGATAGAGAGATGAGAAGGAAAAACCATCTCAGACCAGTTCCAATCATTGGTGTCATATAGCTCTTATTTTATTTAATAAAGATTATTTGTCATTATTCACATGGATGCAAGATATAATTTTATTCCATGGGTCTAATTTATGGATTCTTTATTTTAATTATTAATATTCAATTGTTTTCATTCCGTTATTTATTCAATTTATTTTACAGGTTCTTCATTCATGCCTTGTTTATTCGGAGCGTTCCAGGAAAGTCACTAGGTCTCCTGTTTTGTTTATTTTCTGGGCTGTTACTGCTATAGCTGAACTCATTCCATTCTACTCGGCCATCATTTTACAGGTTTGTCAGTTATGCAAAAGTTGATCATCATAATTTTACTTTCTTTTTACTCAGTTTTAAATAAGATGTTCCAAACTGCTTTCAAAAGCTATATCTTAAGGCTTGTTTTTTTAAATTTTATTTCTTTCCCCTCTTTCAGACTTTTGCTAATGATTCATCACACTTTGCAGTTATCTGTCTCAGGTTTTCAATACCTCTTGTTTTTCTATTGCTCAACTGTTTTCCTGATTATGTCAGAGAGAAGGACAAAGTGGTAAGAAAACCAAAAATCAATTAGATTAAAAAATGGAGAGAAGAAAATAATATACTTTATTGCATGTGCATTATGTTTAACTGTCTTTGTAATCATTCTTTTAAATCAATTTGTTAATGATGTGTTAATTATATCATGTTAATAATCTAACTAACATCATCTGCCTTTACTCAGATTTGTCTGTAAATTTTGTTTAGCATACATTTGGATTTTCAAGACTTGCATTTAATTTAGCATAAACAATATCTGTATATGTTTTTGTTTAAATATCTTCTTAATTATTCTTCACCAATGTCCCTACATTTTGGAGACTTTAAGTTAATTGCAAATAAGTATAAGTAAAACTATAAGTCAAGTGCATAATCTACACTAATAGTGCTTTCTAACATATGTTAATTAATTGTTATTTTTTATGTAATGAGGCCAAAACTTTATTGTTTTAAATATGATTAAGTAAAAAATATTTCATGTCATTTATTGTTTAAATGATAATTAATTAATAAAATGTATTGCTCTGCTTTTATTGTCTTTGTACAAAAGGGAAAGAGTCCTGAGAGTTATGCCTCTTTGTTATCCTGGCTATCGATGTCTTGGTTTAACAGGTGAACAAAATAAAACTTTTAAGTCATAGTTTAGAAATAATTTCCGTATCATCATTTCTTCTGTGTAAATATATGAAATTAATCAATTTAAAACTGAGATGCATCTATCCATCCTATTTTTGATAGACCACTACAAATAATAGAAGATTTTCAAAAAGATTGTGTGATAGCTGAGATGGCTTGAAGCTTTAAACATATTGTTGAGCTTAGAATTACTGAGGTCCCATTGTTTTGGAAGTGTAAACATATTGTTGAGCTTAGAATTACTGAGGTCTTATTGTTTTGGAAGTGTAAACATATTGTTGAGCTTAAAATTACTGAGGTCCCATTGTTTGGAAGTGTAAACGTATTGTTGAGCTTAGAATTACTGAGGCCCCATTTTTATAAATAAATCTCAATGTAATAACATAGAAAACATTTTTTTTGCCATTCTGTACTAGAGCATTGGGATTCAAGTTCAACTAAAGTAGATTTTGAAAAAAAAAAAAGAAAACAAATTTTTATTAATTTGTGGGCAGTTCTAAGACACAATAATTCAATGCTTAAATGTAAAAATATTTAAAGTCTAAAAATTTTAAATTTTATTAATCATTAAAAGAAAATGTGTATACTTAATACTTATTAAAATTGCATTGTCTTTGTGGCTGAAAAGTATCTATAACAGTCATGCACAGTTTTTTTGTGGTAATAATTTGGATAAAAGATGTATATTTACTTTTTTGTACCATCTTTATAAATTTGAACTTTAAATCAGTAGTTTACTTTGTACTTATCTCAAATATTCTCAATGCTCAGATTGGCTTGGAAAGGACTAAGGACACAAATCAATGATGTGGACATCTATCCTCTACACTACAGGGATAAACCTAAACAAACTTTTGACAAGTTCATGCACGCCTGGGACAATGAAACCAACAAACTGCAAGGGCATGTGTTCATTAATAAATTCAATGAATTAAAGCTATGGAACAGGGGTCTGCAACCTTTTCTATGTTAGGAGCCATTTTTATGGATAATATCTGCTAAGAAAATATTTTGGGAGCGGCTTGTCACAATAGACTAGCGAAAACAGACCTGCATCAATTTGTTTGAAGAATCACATGTGGTTCCTGATCCGCAGGATGCCGACCACTTCCATAGACTCTCTTTTTCAGCTTAATATTTTTAAACTTATAACCAGACAATTAATGATTTGACCAGACAAGCACGCACAAGGACAACTGATTATGTACAAGTTTTTAAATATTAAAATAATTTTTACTTCAGGACAGAACAAAAATACAAACTTTCTGATGACTGGGAAAAGGAAATGCCATTGTTACCAAGGAAAACAACTATTCAACCATCATTATCACATCACTCCTTACCTGTAGATGAAAAAGATGGCTATAACATACCTACGGTGACAGTCAACATGACATCTTCTCATGAATCTTTGAATGAACGCCCAACAGATATTTCTAATGCAGCAGTCAACTATTTTGATCCAAGGAAATTAGGCAATGTTGAGACAGAAAAGCCCCAAGTTTCCTTATGGAAATTGATGATCAAATGTTACTGGCTTGAGGCAGTCTCTGCCCAATCTGGCATGGTCATGTATGTTGTCGAACATGGTTTTGGTCCCATTGTTTTAGGGTAAGGTTCTATTATAGTTATAGAAATAAACAGTTATCCTCTGATAAGGGGAAATTAGAGGTTAAGTTTAAAAAAGGAAATCTCAGAGAAAAAAAAAAGTTATCTTTTTTAATTCAACAAAAATAAATGTGTTTTGATTTTTAAAAAAAATGTAAATTATAGAGAAAAATCAAGTATTTGTTTACTTTTAAAAGTAATGTTCAACATGCTGATATTTTAAAAAAATGTTTGTTAGAAATATTCTTTTATGTTTTAGGCTGCTGATAAACTTTACTAAAGACACTTCAGAGCCAAATTGGCATGGTTATATTTATGCAGCAACATTCATCTTTCTGAGGATACTCTACAACGTTTCTGTTGTAATGTCCAAATGGTGCAATAGCCGTTTTGCCTCTCGAACGCGTGGGGCAGGGATAGCGGCTGTCTTTCAAAAGGCTTGTAACTTTGATAAAAAAATTTTGTTATTGAAGATGTGGAAAAAAAATCTATTATCAACCATTGTCTATGGTTCTTGTATGAATTGAAAATATGATTATTAATATTCAGCTATGTACATGTTGAACAATAACTTGAACTTATTCAAAGAGATAATTAACCCTAATCCTCATTACCTTATGTACAAAAAAACAACAAACCTCTGCCTCAATGACTCATGAAGCTCGCCCCCAATGACTCATGAAGCTGTCCCAAATGACTCATGAAGCTCTCCCCGACTGACTCATAAAGCTCTCCCCCAATGACTCGTGAAGCTCTCCCCCAATGACTCATAAAGCTCTCCACCAGTGTCTCATGAAGCTCTCCCCCCACTGACTCATGAAGCTCTCCCCCAATGACTCATGAAGCTCTCCCCATATGACTCATGAAGCTCTTCCCCAATGACTCATGAAGCTCTCCCCAATGACTCATGAAGCTCTCCCCCAATGACCCATGAAGCTCTCCCCCAATGACTCATGAAGCTCTTCTCCCTACCCCCCCCCCTTCCTACCCCATTCCCCAAGCTCTCCCCCACTGACCCATGAAGCTCTCCCCCAATGACTCATGAAGCTCTTCTCCCTCCCCCCCCCCTTCCTACCCCATTCCCCAAACATTAATTAAAAATCTCTGCATTACATATTATATATATGAACTTATACTTCAGTGTCTCAAATAAAAACCTCATATTTTTTTACTTATTACTGTAGATAATAGTTTATGGTTCCAATGATGCTTAGTTTAATTATTACCTTTTTAAGATACCGGTACAACTAAGCAGCTGTGCATAAAATACCATGCAAATAATATTTTTACTCTAGTAATTTAAAGAAATTAAAGACAATTAAAATTTAAAAATTCTTATTAAATTAGGCCTTGACAATAAGCTCTGAAGCTCGTAAAGAAACAACAGTGGGCGAAATTATGAATTTGATGTCTGTAGACACTGGACTCATAGAGACAATGGTCTTTGGCTCATTTTGGAGCTGGATGTCAGTGGCTTTGATAGCCATTGGTATCTACCTGCTGTATACAGTTGTTGGCCTCACATTTTTTGCTGGTAATTTAATGAAACATGATTCCTTTTTTTCTTTCACTTTTAGGTTTCTCACATTTATTTGGGCTCATACAAAATAAATATTAGCTTATCAATACATGAACAAAAGCTTTGTAAAATGTTCGAAAACTGTTATTAATTTAATGTTTTTAAATTTCTTCAGTTTATTTTTAAAGATGCAAGTTGTTTAAAAAAAACTAATTAACATAGACTATGATGAATAATCTGACCTAATAAACTGACCTCAGGTTTGGCCCTCATACTGTTATTTTTTGGTGTCAACATTGGGGCAGCACAGAAGCTGAGTGAGTTTCAAGAGAAGATCATGGTAATAAAAGATGAGAGGATTAAAGCAATGAATGAGATGCTTAATGGAATCAAGGTTTGCTTTGAAGTTGACTCTTAAAGACTAAATGAAGGATCCAAAAATTTTTTGTTTACATTTTGGGTTGAGACAAATTTAATCTTTAATTTTTTATTTTAATAAGCTTCTTACACAATGATGAGGATTTTAAAAGAAAATAAAGTGTTAACATTACATTTAAATATTAAAGCAATATTTGTTCCTCGAAATGAAAAACTGAATTTTAATGCCAAACCGAATTTAATTGTATTTTAAAACAGGTTATCAAGTTGTATGGCTGGGAGCCCATGTTCATTAAAAAAATTCAAGATATTCGAGAAAAGGAATTAAAGATTTTATTGAAGTGTTCAATCTTGGCTGGAATTGAGACTTTTGCCTGGCATGTTTCAATGGTTTGGGTATGTTAGACTTCTGCTAATGATGATAATTAAAGTACTGTGATCATTTCTTTCATTAGACCCAATAACACCAGACTTTGAGTTGTATAAGCTTTCAAATGAACATAATTTGTGTAAAAACATTCATTTAGCTGAGGGCTTTAAAATTAGGAGTTATTTACATACTTGCTTAGATGAATCCTGCAAGGCATTGATTTCATTTCTCACCAGGCTCTATATATGATGTTGGTTACTTTTGTTATGACCTCAGATGACCATTACTTGGCTGCCACAACCTTATTCCTGACACTGAATTATAATAACCTTGTTAAAATTGGCATCAACATGCTCCCAAGTTTTATTACTGACTTTGTAAAGGTAAATTTTTCAATAAATGTTTATGTGTGTACACATTACAAATTTCTAAATTTAGGTCCTTCATTAAATACGTAAAATTTCTTCCCCACCATCTTCTGTGGATCCAGGATGGAAGTTATACTTCTGTGGTAAATGTAACATTCAGTTGAAGTTACCATTCTAGATTGTGGAATAGAGAGTACGCCTTGTGCAGACAAGCTGATGTTGAGGGGTCATTTTGTCAAGGCTTCAACTTGGGCATCTGCTATACAATATATATGAGTATGACATGATAGCTACATGTGTTATATGTAAACATTACAAGTCAACATGATCAATTAATTGATCGTGGGCCCTCTAAAATAGAAGAAGAAGAACATTTTATCTAAAAGTAAATCTTAAACTCATAACTTGGAAAAGATATGTGAGCAAATGTGCATGGTCTCCACACACACAAAAAAAAGTTTAATTAAAAAACTTTAAAGTCTCACTCATGCTCCCTTCCAGCCTGGGTTTGATCCTGCAATGTTAGTTTTAAATTACAATTCTACTCTATTTTCACCATAAAATGAGAAATATGCCTTGAACAGTAACTAATTATTTTAACAATTTTTAAAGAGGCTCTATAGTGATACAAGATCTGATTTCTTCTAATTAGCTTCAATGTGATTGTTCCAGTTTTTTACTTCAACATATAGAGTTATTTTTAGCCACCACACTTCTCACCTGCTAGTATGGCCTTGATATTAACATCACTGAGTAAATGTTCTGTGTCTTTCCTGACCCATTCCTCCCTTGGTTGGGAAAAGGTTGTTTACATTTGAATGCATTTATTTATTCTAAATGATGCTATTAAAAGGGTGCAATTTCTAGAATTTCTCTACTAGAATGTTCTGATTTGGTTCCTATAAATAAGCTGCCTGCTGTCTTAGCAGAGAGACCGATAGAGAGTCCAAGGGAGAGATTTTTGCTATATGAGACATTATATAATTGTATGTGTGTAAATTAATATTTCTATTTTTGAGGAGTAGGCCTATATCTTTTTTCACTTGCTATAAGTTGATATAGTTAATTGTTTTTGCATTCAAATTTTAATTTGTATAGAAATTTAATAGTATGATTAAATGAAAGATTGTTAGTATCACTAGCTTTGGTATCGTTTCTTTGCATATGTTTTTCTCAGTCCTTTGTTACCTATTGTTTATTATAAGAGTCAAATCTTAACATAGCTTAAATCTTGAAAACTGTAACAGTACACATCAGTGATATTCCTTGGTTTGTAGTTAAAAAAACAACAACTGATTAGTGATTTGTGTCTCGTGCCTATACATATTTAAGATAAGAAACTAGGGACATTTGCCCCTTCACAGCCCAAACACCTCTAACTTGCTTGAGTTTTACAAATAGTGTCTAGTCCTCAAAAATTGATCGTACCAGTATTTATTTAGATTTTTGCAGAGATCTATCGGCAATGACAACTTTGTGCTGGAGGTAATAGCTTAGTAACAAATTATCCACCATTTTATTTAAATTTTCCCAGGCTAGGAATTCAATCAAAAGGCTGAACAAATATTTAAACTCTGAAGACATCAACACAGTTAACTTGATAAGGAACAAAACAGATCGTAAGTTGCATTAGTCTCTCTTCTAATCAAGCCCAGATGTTTTCCCTTCATTTTTTTTCAAAAATCAAAGACCAAGTTTTTGTAATAAATTTATACAAAGAGGAAATATAAACTTTTTAAAACAAAGAAGGTATGTACATTGATGGAAATTGAGTAATGTTATTTTCATTTTTTTTATGAATAGGATTTAGACCTTTTAAAACTCCCCTATAATTTAAATTATATTCACTCTTGTCATATTTTTTTTGTAGCCTTGGCTGTAAGGGTAGAAAATGCTGACTTTACTTGGAACCAGTCTGAACCATGCACTCTTAACAAGTGAGAAATATACATTATATATAAAATTACAGGCATCAAAATATAAACATTTTAATAAAAGGTTGACAATGAAAGGCCTAATTATATGTCCTATCCTAGAATAAGGGATCATCTGTTTCTTTGTTTTTATTAATATCCCCCCCCCCCCTCCCCAACTAAGCATACATGATCTTACCATATTTGTTTCATTATATAGAAAACATATTTGAAATTCTGATTAAAAGAAAATTTAATAAAAGGTTGACAATGAAAAGGCTAATTATATGTCCTAACCTAGAATAAGGGATCATCTTTTTCTTTGTTTTTATTAATATCCCCCCCCCCCTCCCCAACTAAGCATACATGATCTTACCATATTTGTTTCATTATATAGAAAACATATTTGAAATTCTGATTAAAAGAAAAAAAAAAGATAAAGTTCAACTATCCTTTTGGGAATAATGCTCTATTTATTTTTACAGTATTAACCTTTCTGTGGAAACTGGACTATTGGTGGCTGTCGTTGGGACTGTAGGCTCTGGCAAGTCTTCTTTCTTATCTGCACTGCTAGGGGAGATGCACAAACTCAATGGATATTTTAATCTTAATGTAAGATTACTTTATTTAAGTTTTGCATAGCCACATGTTGCTCTTCAATTTTTTAACTTGTAAAAGAAGGGAAAATTTATAATCGAATAATAACATATTTGAATACTTAATTTTAATCATCTGAAATAGATTAACATATAAGATAAATTAAAATTAACCAAACATACAAGATAAATTAAACTTAACCAAACACATATGATAAATTAAACTTAACCAAACACATAAGATAAATTAAATTTAACCAATGTTCTTAGTTCTGATTTTAGGTTAATAAATCATGTTTTTTCTGAATCTCTAATGATGATAAACTTAAGTAATTCATTTCTATCTCATTTCATTAGTCATTTTTCAATTTTAAAATTAAAATAGTTTTCAGCATGTGAAGACAATAATAATAATTTCCATCTCAATCAGTTAAATTCTCTTGATTGTATTAAATTCATTCTCAATGCTCTTTTTTTTTTTTCAGTCTTCAGTGGCATACGTCCCGCAGCAAGCTTGGATTCAGAATAACACTGTAAGAGAGAATATTTTATTTGGTCGCCCGTATGACCGTCAGTTTTTCCAACAAGTGATAAGTGCATGTGCCCTGTTACCCGACCTTGACATGATGCCAGCAGGGGATCAAACAGAAATTGGAGAGAAAGTAATCTGAGAAAATTATAAATTTTTAACAAAAAATTTCATTATGATCAATAATATAAAGAAGGTTGAAGTCCCTCCTTGCTTCATTTACTAAATAATATAAAATTCTTTTCATTAATAAAAGTGCACCCACTTATTCTTAATTTTAAAAAATAATAGGTTATAATATAGTTATAATAAGTTTTAAAAAACAAAATATTTTTAGGGAATCAATTTGTCGGGTGGTCAGAAACAACGTGTGTCCCTTGCAAGAGCTATCTACAGTCAAGCAGACATTTATTTAATGGATGACCCACTCAGTGCAGTGGACAGCCATGTTGGGAGGCACATATTTGACCAAGTGCTTGGTAAAAGTGGATTACTTAGTGGGAAGGTAAATAACTGTGTTGCCATTTATTTTATATCTAAAATTTCTTTTATTTTTGTTGAGTGCACATATTTTTATATATTATTTTTAAATTTACTTATTAAAAAAACAAAACAAAAAAAAACATGTAGTCATTGATCTATTTTAAAAATGTAAATTAAAATGTTTAGAGTAATCCAAGGATATCTTGTTAAAAACGCTGGATCTTAATGACGCAAGAAGACCCACAACTATTTCACTTATTATGTTCACAAATTTAAAAAAAAAAAAGTGATATTTTCTAGTTAAATTATTTGAGTCCTGAAATATAAATGTTGGAATGTTAACATTTTCATGAATAAAAAGCTTTTAATAACTTATCTAGACCATAATATTAGTGACCCATGGAATCCATTGGCTCAAAGCAGTGGACCACATTGTAGTGATGTCGAACGGAACGGTATCTGAATATGGATCATTTGAAGAGCTCCTCAGTCACAATGGAGCTTTTGCTCAGTTTCTCACTCAGTATTTGACTCAAGAAGCTGACACTGAAAGTTTGGAGGATGAAGATATAGGTGAGATATGGGACCAGTCTTTTTGTCAGCTTCCTTTTTTTTTCTTTGTGTCTAGATTATAAATAGAACCAATGAATTACAGAGTTATAAAAAGACCATAGGTCATTCTTGCTTGGTTAAGACTCTAAAAATAACTACACATGGAAAATTACAGCTTGATAACAGATTTGGACGTTTTTATGCATATCAAGAAACATTAATACGAAAAAATAGTATGCTTGGAAAGATTCTGCAAGGGCTGACTACCTTAAACAAGTGTAGATTTTAGAGTCTGGCCAGTGGTCAGTATTAAATGATTATTCTGCATCATTACTTTGAATACTTTGATGCAAAGAGGCCAATCTTGACTTCAAAATATAAATTGTAACTAACTGACCTATAGTGGCTATTAGTTGCACCATAGCGTATATCTTTACACAGCTTTAAAGCTTTCTAAAATAAAAATAATTTAAATTTCTACCAATTTTGATTGATCTCCATTCCTTCAAAACTATATTGTTTATAAGATTTATCTGTTTAGTAGAATTAACAAAATGTGCAGCTTCATCTTAATGTATTAATATTTATTAAAATACTTCATTTGCCTAAACAATAAATTGATATTTTAATTCATGATTGATACCTAGAGATCAAAAGTGACATTTTGCGACGATTGGTGTCAGTGACAAGTGAGAGTGACGACAGTGTCATTTCTGAAAAAGTTGCCGAATACAAAAAGTCCTTGTCTGGGAGTTTGATGAGACTCAACACTGGAGAAGTCAGACATCGGAAATCCAGGTGTGTTGCTTCAAGAATCTGTGAAATACAATCTAAGAAACAGTTTTCTCAATTAAAATTTGTAGAGATGCCTTAAAAAAAACACAAAAAGGCAAGTCCTATTAAAAATACAACCTCAAATCTGAAAAATAAATTTCAATGATATTAGTTTTCCATATATTCTTATGGTTCTAAAATATGAGTGAAATTTTCTGTTAGTGATAACTGATAAGAAACTTAAGAAATATAATGTTTAATAAATTTTTGGATGATATCTTACTGTGCAGTTAGATTGGGATCGGTAGACAAAAAAAAAAGAAGTATTTTCCTTGAATGCTGGAAAGCTAGCCTGCATTAGGACGTCTGGAATGTGAATTCCATTATAAATTTTTCCAGTGTTCCCTAAACAATAATTGTAATTATTACTTTGATGACAAATAATAAGAATTATGTTTTTTTTTAAAATCTCCTTCCTCCCACTCTAGTGAAAAGTCTTCGCACTTAAAATCCAGTGAGAAGCTAGGAGATGTTGAACAGATTTTGAAACAAGCTTCTCAAAATAACATCAACAAAACAACAGACCAGAGCCGTCTAACATCTGATGAGAAAAGGCAAGAGGGAAAGGTATAGAGACAAAAATCACTTTAGTGAGGAGACTTTCAATTTTATGGTCATATATAGTGACTGAAATTAACATTGGTAAACACTTGGTTTGTGTTCCTTTGCCTTTTAATATCTAAGATTTAATTAAGTTTTATTCATTGGAGGCCAATTATCCTTGAAATTTTTGCATACAGTCTACTAATTGAAATGGGGATGTCACTGTCACAAGTCTTTGTATTGTAAAGGATTAATTAAGTATTTTTAATTGAATTGCTAACATGTGACTATATTTTCACAAGGTCAACTGGTCTGTTTATTGGCAACTCATCAACAGCCTGGGACACCGCAATGCTGTGATAATATTTGCTCTCTTTGTGTGTTACCAAGTGATCTTCACCTTCTGCAACTTTTGGCTGGCTGGCTGGAGTGATGATGCTCAACTCAACAACTTCACAGCACTGCCAGCAAACAGTACAGAGAGAGAGGACAGAAATGTCTATTACATTGGCGTATTTTCTGGCCTTACGATTTTAGTGTGTAAGTAACATGATTTTAGTGTTTAAGCAACATGATTTTAGTATGTAAGTAACATGATTTTAGTATGTAAGTAACATGATTTTAGTGTGTAAGTAACATGATTTTAGTGTGTAAGTATCATGATTTTAGTGTGTAAGTAACATGATTTTAGAGTGTAAGTAACATGATTTTAGTGTGTGTGTTTTATTATTTTTATTTTGTTATACTTTTGCTGTCTAAACTTTACAGTCTTTGTATGCCTACGTGGTTTTGAAAAAGCTACCATTTAGTTTTCTTTAAAAAAATCTCAACTTAAATATTTTTCTCTCTCATTTAGCTGCATTTGACATTGCATACGCCATTGTGTTTCAAATTGGACATATCAAAGCTTCACGAAAATTTCACACGGATCTATTGATGAGCATCATGCATGCACCAATGTCATTCTTTGATACTACTCCAATCGGCCGCATCTTGAATCGGTTCAGCCAAGACATTGACATTGTGGATAATAACATTTTTGTGGAGATTGAGACGGTTCTGGATGTTATGTTCAGATGTTTAACCACTTGCATCATCATAAGTTATACCATGCCGATCTTCCTCTCTGTTGTTGTACCAGTGGTCATTGTTATCTACTTCATTCAAGTAAGTTGAAAGTCTGGAACACAAAACAAAACAATTATGCCTGCTTGGCTTCAAATATAGGGACACTATATAAAGCTTTTCTTTAAGGTCATTGAGTTTTCCCTGCTACCATATTTATTAATTAACAAACAGTTTAATAGTAATATTACATTTTATAATTGGGCAATAATAACATTGCTGAGAGTCATTTTCTGAAACTTTCTTCACACAGTTACATGCATGCCACATTTTTTATAAATGACAATATTTTACAGCAAATTTACATAAGGACATCGTGTCAGCTCCGTCGCATCGCATCCAACAACAGATCTCCTGTGTATGCCCACTTCAGTGAAGCACTGTCCGGAGTTAGTGTCATCAGGGCTTATCAGGCACAGGACAGATTCATTGCTGACTCACTTCAAAAGGTGGACAACTTTCAGAAAGCCCACTTAGCTTCAAAAGCATTGAACAGGTAAATTAATCATTGAACAGTTTACATGATATTTGAACAGGTAAATTAATCATTGAACAGTTCAAATGATCATTGACCAGGTCAGTTGATCATTGAATAGGTCAAGTGATCATTGAACAGGTCAGTTGATCATTGAATAGGTCAAGTGATCATTGAACAGGTCAGTTGATCATTGAATAGGTCAAGTGATCATTGAACAGGTCAAGTGATCATTGAACAGGTCAGTTGATCATTGAATAGGTCAAGTGATCATTGAACAGGTCAAGTGATCATTGAACAGGTCAAGGGATCATTGAACAGGTCAAGTGATCATCTCTCATCAAATCATTTTAATACTGTTTAGAGAATAAGAACTTAAAACATTTGATGTTATTTTGTTAAAAACCATCTTGAAACTTTAATTATTCAAATAGATATTGGTAAAAAGCCTACATTTTTTTCTTGTATCCCATTTACATTTTACAATTTTTGTAACCAAGACATCTGTTAGGTTTTCAACGGTTAATCTAAATTTTTATTTTAACCACAAAACAAAACATTTTTAGATGGCTTGAGGCTCATCTCAACATGGTCACTTACCTGATTGTTGGTGCTTCTGTCCTGTTTGCTGTCATGTCCAGAGATGTTTTATCCCCTGGTCTTGTGGGCCTTGCTATTACCTATGCTCTAAAAGTAAGGATATTTTAAGATTTTTCTCTTAGTCATAGTCTTAGTTCCTCCCACAAAGTGCAGTGCATTGGACAACATGTATTATTCAGTCCCATAATGTGTAGTGCATTGGGCAACAAGTCTTATTCAGTCACACAATGTACAGGGTAACTAGTCTTAATTCCTCTCATAATGTACAGTGCATTTTGCAAAAATAATGTAGCCTTGCTATATACTAGTTTCAATTTCAAAAATTCAATCTGTTCATCAATCTGTTTTCATACAGCTTTTTGATTTTAAAATAAGTTTTTAGAGATGTTTGTTGCATTTTTTAAAACCGTGTTCCTATTACATCTATTTTGTAAATTGTGTGCATGTAATAAATTCATTAAGCTTCATGAGTGTAAATTAAGGCCTATTGAATTTTTAAGCAGAAATTTGTACATTGCTCATTTAAGTCCTAGCAATTAAAACTGTCATGGATGACTTAACTCCCATAATGAAAACTCCCTTTATTTGACTCCAAAGTTTGAACCTTTTGATTGTTATTGTCATCAAATGTACAGGTGTCTTCTGACCTGACTACAGTAACCATGGTTTTTGGGAATCTAGAAAATCACATTGTCTCAGTGGAGAGGATCTTAGAATATTCAACCATTGTGAAAGAAGTATGACAATGTCTTATTATTTTATAAAGTTACTTTATTTTACTTTTATTATTTTTATTATACTAAATTTATTGTAAATAAATTAAAAACAAAAAAATTGCTTAATTGTTTGTCCAAATTTTTCACAAAAGCTGATTGTCATTTCAGGATTTTTACTTTCCTATGAGTCTCATGTTTGTAGATCTGTAAAAAAATAACGCTCTACACAAAAGACTTAACCTCTCATTTGATGCAATGTAGAGAGGTATTTAAGTGGCCAACTTCAAGACTGTGCTGAAAAAAACAACAAAAACAATTTAAAAATCCTGATTCTGTGGTCTAAATTATGTTTAGTTCCCCAAACAGAGATCAAATAAATGTCATTGGTCTTGAGTCAAAATCTAGAGTTTATTTATCAATCTTTTCATGAATGATTGACACTTTGATTCACGTATCCCAGCCTCAGTGATGTTCACAAAAATAATAATAATAAATGTATATACTTATTTAAAATAATGGTGTTTCTTTTTTAAAAGACAAGTATTTTTTTTTTACTCATTCGCTTATTAGAAACACCAATTATTTCACATTGTCTGTTCCTGCCTGGTCAAAGTTTTCTCAACCATCCTTACTGTATGTATGGTTAATCACATTTGTGCCGCCCTTCATATATACAATAATAATTTGATCATGTGTATTAATATTATCGATGTATGTAAAATTAGGAAAAACTTTCTCCTTGTCAGCTACGTAACCCATCAGATCAATATTCCTCATTTTAATGCTGCATAAACTATGTTACCTACAGGCACCTTGGGTGGCCCAGCCTGTAGATGATGAGTGGCCCTCCAGTGGAAAACTCCAATTTGTTAACTACAGCACGAGATACAGAGAAGGTCTTAATTTGGTTTTGAGGGGATTAAATTGTGAAATCAAGGCAGGTGAGAAAGTAAGTATGAAAAAATTATTAAAAAACGAGGACTAGTTAAAAAAAAAAAAGCCCTAAGAAAAAACAACACTGGCTTAATGTCAGGCTCATCTTCTGGTACACTTCCCTAAACAACACTGACTTAATGTCAAGCTCAGCTTCTTGAACACTTTCGTAAACAACACTGGCTTAATGTCAGGTTCATCTTCTGGTACACTTCCCTAAACAACACTGGCTTAATGTCAAGCTCAGCTTCTTGAACACTTTCGTAAACAACACTGACTTAATGTCAGGCTCATCTTCTTGAACACTTTCCTAAACAACACTGAATTAATGTAAGGCTCATCTTCTGAGACATAATTTTCAACACAAAAAATACATTTTTATGTGGATACGGCCTAAATCATGTATTTGTATCCATAAATCATAATGTTTACACATGATAAATTGAAGAGAAAAATAGTACTTTAAACAGAATGTTTATCAGCTTCAAAATAAACATTAAAAAAGCAAGCAGTTAAATGAGTAACCTTTGTCAAAGATTATGTTGTCTAAATATTCCGATGACGAATATTTCGTCTAACCTTATGTCAGACTAGTTTGTTTCGGATATCATCTCTCACTTGGTTACAACACTGACTAGTTTAATTTATACCGTATGTGTATAAATTAACTCAAACACTCAATAGTTCATTGTTACTATGCGTTTATTTCACTGAACTAAACATCCACTTGGTACACAATGAAGTCACTAACTAATTACATCCAGCAGATAATATTATCCGGCAAAAAACCCCACAGAAAATTTAAACCAAATTATTCTCTCTCTCTAGCTCACTCTGGTGATCAAAATCGTTGTCTCCCTTTATAACCCCAAAATTCATGCACCTGTCCTTGACATGAAAAGAGTTCACACGCGTTCACTAAACTTAACTGTCAACATCACCATACACACTGCACGTCTGATTCCAACATGCTTGTATTTTGGTAGCTTATTTTCCTCATTAATAAATTTTCATTGTATTTATTAAATGCTACTTTGGATATAAACTGTTATTTGAAGGTTGGCATTGTGGGAAGGACAGGGGCAGGTAAATCATCTATGATGCTGTCCCTGTTTCGTTTGATTGAAGCATCTGAAGGAAATATTATTATTGATGATTTGGACATATCAAAGCTAGGACTTCACACCCTGAGGAGGAAACTGACCATTTTGCCACAGGTTAAAAACGTTTGACTAACATCAAAATTTCTGAAAAAACTAATATTCACTATTTTAAAATTTCTAATATGTAGATTTATAATTAATGAACTATTCCTTATAAAAAAAATAGCATAATTTGATAACAAAGGGTTGATCATAATATTAAAATATCAATGCTGTCTTTAAATTTAAAAAAGTGTTATCAATATTCATTAAAATTATTCTCAATTCACAACTTTAGGACCCTACTTTGTTTGCTGGGAGCTTGCGTATGAATCTTGACCCTTTTAATGAAAAATCTGATGCTGATTTATGGAGGGCACTGGAACATTCTCATTTAAAATCTTTTGTTGAAAGTCTTCCTGAAAAGTTGGAGAATGAAGTTGGAGAAGGGGGACAGAACCTAAGGTATGTACTTGAATTAAATTATTACCTTACCAAGGGGCATCATTAAACAAAATCTCTTAATTTCATTTCTATTCATATACAAATAATTCATGTTACTCTTAGCATGGGACAGCGACAGCTCATCTGCCTCGCCAGGACATTGCTAAGGAAGTCTAAGATATTTATTCTTGATGAGGCAACTGCCGCTGTAGACATGGGGACAGATGACCTCATCCAGAGGAGCATTCGTGAAGAGTTTGAAGGCTGCACAATTCTAACAATTGCACACAGATTGAATACAGTATTAGATTATGACAGGTAAATTAGTAACTTCTTGTTGTAATCTTGTTCAATTTTATTAATGCGCGAGGTGTCTTACCTGTAATTAGCAGCATGACCCCACCTGCCATTACTAGCAATATACACAGGACTTACTCTCAAGCTCTTAACCTCATTGGCGTGTGGTGTCTTACCTGTAACCAGCAGAATTACCCCCCCCACCTGTTATTATTAAATTAGCAATATACACAGGACTTACTCTCAAGCTCTTAAACTCTTTGGCTAGTCATAATTAGTGAAAGTATGATTATTTTGTTTAAATTGAAAACCGTTCATTATATTACAGTATTAAACTTGAAACCATTTTTTTAAATGATAAAAATAAGATCTTCTCTGATAACTGACTTCCTATTATTATATCTACAGGATTATGGTGCTAGACAATGGACAAGTGGTAGAATATGATTCACCTAAAAACCTTTTATCCAGACCTGATTCCATCTTCTACTCAATGGCTGCCCAATCTGGTCTTGTCTAGCTTATTGTATCACAATGCAAACACCCAGACTGGGAGCTCACCATTATAATACTAATGTATTATCAGTCCTGACATGTAATTAGTCAATATTAATATCATGAAGCAAATATTTCTATTTCATTTATTAAAAAAAAATATTATCTTTGTTTATCCATCTTGTCCTGTAACCAAGTTTAAAAATATTTGAAGTAAAACCCATTGACTTTTAAAATCTGACTAAAATCAAATGAATAGCAATGCAGCAATGTCAAAGATGAACTAACATGTAAAAAAAAAAAATCTCATTACATATATTTGAAATTGAATTATGATTTTGGTCCAAAGGGAAATTTTTGTGATTTTAAAGTACATATAGTAGAATGTGTTATAATTTTGAGTGTATCATTGATTGTCAATAAATGTTATTAATTAATTATCAGTTTCTGCCTTGTGGGCAGAATTTTTATACAATTTTCTGTGTCGATTCTTATATATAATATTCTGTATACAACTTGAACTAAGTAAAGACATTTATATGGGTTGCCAAGATGAAGTTGTCAATTTATGTATATGCTAGTTAAAAAAATATGAAACTATTATATTGTTTCGTCATATTTTTATAAAAATAATGATTTTATTGTAATGAGGCTGAAAATTTGTTTTACTCTAGTCGGTCATGACATGTTGAACTTTAACTGTATTTTCATTACAATTTTATTATTCAGGTTTTGTTTCTAAGATTTTTGTAATTTCCTCATAATAATAATTTCAGACACATTTACATAACATGCTGGTCGGCTGTTAAGATTTTTATTGCAAACAATGATCTTAAAATAAAATAAATTTACAAAATTAAATTTCACTTTTTTTTTTTTTCAATGGATGCAATTTTTTAGTTTCCTCTTCCCCATAAGTGACTGTCCTTTTTGATTCCATGCATCCTTGTCACAAGATTTTAAAACTTTTGGAAGATTATGCCTTTCATAATGACAGGCACAAACTTTTGGAAGATTATGCCTTTCATAATGACAGGCACATATTTCATAAGAGTGAAACTCGACTTATTTGAAGACACACCCTTTTTTATAAGAGTCGGCTCCCCTTTCATTGTGCAACAAGTCTCCGATGATGATTATTAATATTATTCAATTTTTTAAAAAAATGTTAGCTGAACATATCTGAAATCTTATTTCTCTCAAATTTTTAAAAAGAATAAGAAATATGGTGGCGTTTAATGTTACAGATCCAGTGTAAAATGTTACTACCACAGAGACTTGGAAAAGTAAAATGTTACTGCCACAGATTTGGAGTAGTAAAATGTTACTACCACAGACTTGGAGTAGTAAAATGTTACTGCCACAGACTTGGAGTAGTAAAATGTTACTGCCACAGACTTGGAGTAGTAAAATGTTACTGCCACAGACTTGGAGTAGTAAAATGTTACTGCCACAGACTTGGAGTAGTAAAATGTTACTGCCACAGACTTGGAGTAGTAAAATGTTACTGCCACAGACTTGGAGTAGTAAAATGTTACTGCCACAGACTTGGAGTAGTAAAATGTTACTGCCACAGACTTGGAGTAGTAAAATGTTACTGCCACAGATTTGGAGTAGTAAAATGTTACTGCCACAGACTTGGAGTAGTAAAATGTTACTGCCACAGACTTGGAGTAGTAAAATGTTACTGCCACAGACTTGGAGTAGTAAAATGTTACTGCCACAGATTTGGAGTAGTAAAATGTTACTGCCACAGACTTGGAGTAGTAAAATGTTACTGCCACAGACTTGGAGTAGTAAAATGTTACTGCCACAGACTTGGAGTAGTAAAATGTTACTGCCACAGATTTGGAGTAGTAAAATGTTACTGCCACAGACTTGGAGTAGTAAAATGTTACTGCCACAGATTTGGAGTAGTAAAATGTTACCCTACTAAAGTTAATTGGAATATGTTAAGACCGCCATGACTTTGGGTAAAATGTTACTACTACAGCAACTTGGTGTAAAATTTTATTACAACACCGACTTGGGGTATGATGTACTGGCAGTCATCATCATCATCATGTCTCTTAGTCCTTGGACTGTTGGGGTGCCACAGATGACATGAATAATATCCTTCTCTATTCCTCGCTGTGTTCTGCATTTCGCACAGTATCGCCTAGTTTAAGTTCCGTCCACTCTTTGATGTTATCTTCCCATCTTTTTCTCTGTCTTCCTCTTCTTCTCCCTCCACTTGTGCCATGCAATATTTCTTTGACGAGCCCTTGTTTTCTTGTCACGTTTGCGCTTTTTTTATAGTCACCAGAAGGTCATCGTACTGCCCAATTGCTTGATGAATCATTTCTTTCACTTGTTCATTGGAGATATTGTCTCTATAGCAAATGCCAAGAATGCTTCTGAAACATCTCATCTCCAACGCCTTTATTTTTCTTTCAAGTTCTGCTGTTAATGTCAAGGACATACAAGAACATGGGGAGGACTAATGAGCGCATTGGTCTGATTTTGGTCGTGGTGGCAATTTTTTTTTCGTCTGATATTTTCTTAAACCTCTTTAGTGCTGTTGTGGTCTGGGCAATCCTGGTATCAATTCGGGCTTGGAGCCTTTTTCCGAGACTATTGCTCCTAGGTGGTTTAAGCTGCCCACTGTCTCTAATCTTTCCTCCCCGACCTTAATTTTGTCTTTTCTGCACTGATTTGCATGCCAAAGAAAGATGAAGTCTTGTGGAGACACTTTACTAGGTTGGCTAGCTTTTCTTTGCTTCCAGCCAGTCCATCTATGTTATCTGCAAAGCGTAGTTTGGTGATTGTTCTCCCACCAATGCTGACTGTCTCTACATGCATTTCCAATGCATCTGACATAATTCTAAGAAGATGTTGAACAGGGTGGGGGAGAGCATGCAGTCTTGTCGTACTCCTAGCGTGGTCTTGAACCATTCTCCAATGTTATTGTTGAAGAAGACTGCACTGGTGGCCTTTAGGCCTTATCATTGAGACTGCATATCATTCTGGTTAGGTTTGTGTTGATGTTGTAGTGCCTCATGGTGGCCGATAAAGCAGCATGCCAAACCCTGTTGAATGCCTTCTTGAAATCCACAAAGATTGCCACAGTGACTTTATTAATATGTGAAATCTTTGAAAAATGTCCATAAAAACTGTTATTTGTAATTGAGATCAAAGTTTTGAAATGTCATCCATCCCAGTCACAATCAGATTCACTGAAGTAAAACATAAGCCATTAGTTGTATTTAAATATATTTATAAATATATGGCTCCATTATTGCAGTCAATATAGGTTCACATTTAAGAAAACTGAAAGCCAAAATAATTCGAAAATTTAAAAAAAAAAAAGTACAATAGATACATTGATTGTAAGTTGTTATTCTTTTTAAAACCAATAAGTCTTACATTACATGCTACACTCCAAGAGATCAGCTTTTCATATAGTTTTAATTAATATAGATCTAAAAACAATGAATATTTTTAAATATATGATGTCTCCCATTGCAAGATAAGTGTTGGATGATCTAATTTCAAAGATGTCCAATTGCCTTTATGAAAAAGACTTAAATATTACTAAGATGATGAAATATTAGAGAAATATGATACAAAAATTATCAGAAAATCTGATAATACAAATGGAAGGTATTTAGATTTGTTTTTTAAAAATTTTAATATGAAGTTAATATTTTTAAAAGATCCATTTCTAAAAATAGTAAAATTAATGACACAAAAGAGACAATTATAAAATTTAAGAACAATAAGATTATAAACCTGCATTTTATTGTATCACATCCAAATTGACCATATTAGAGTGGTTTAAACTGTAGGAGGGGACGGCAAATAGCCGAAATTAACAACATTTGGTTAACTTAAGGAAGACTTAAAAACAAAACTCATTTGAACATGAACTAAACAAATGTCTGGATGTTTTTGTTCAATCATACAAGCTTAAGGTAGACTGATTAGATGACACGGAGTAACAAATCAAGTGAAGACATGGAACTTAATTACTTAGCACTCATTAACATGGAAAGAATAGAGAAGATTTCCCCAAATAGTCCACTTAGCGTGTATATTAAATTTCTTAAAAAATTACATGATTTATAATCCAATAAGCCATGACACAAGCTAACACGTTTTTGGATTAGTTTATTAGAATTAACAAAAGTCTGAATAAAGTGAGTTAAGTTGCAAATTTTTTAATTTAAAAAAAAAAATTAAAACATGACAAAATGGCATCTTTAAATTCCTACGAAAAACGATTATTCCGATTTCAAAAAGATATAAAAATCACATGGCATCGGCAGTATGAATTGTGAAGTGCAGGTCAGTATTAAGTAAGTGACATCGATGGTGGTGGTCGTAGCGGAATGTTTGAAATTTGAGGTTGGTTCAAGTTCACAGGTTTGCACATAACACCCTGACAAATTCTGGAGATAGAGTCACAAATGTACAGCATTACAAACACCCTGACAAATTCTGGGGATAGAGTCAGCAAATGTACAGCATTACAAACACCCTGACAAATTCTGGGGATAGAGTCAGCAAATGTACAGCATTACAAACACCCTGACAAATTCTGGGGATAGAGTCAGCACATGTACAGCATTACAAACACTAGGGGTGTGCCGGATCCGTTTTTTCCAACCGGATCCGGATTTTCTTATGCGACATCCGCCGGATCCGGATTCCGGAATAATCCGGATTCCGGTTTCTCCCGGATTCCGGATTTTGGTACTATTGGTAGATACTTCGGTAAGTCAAGGTGGACTACTACTTTTTGTGTATGGGAATTCGCAATCGGCGCCAAAAAATCCGAGTTTTTAATTTTCCGATGTGTGTGTCTATTTATTATTAAATTAGTACTTTCGATATATATTTGAGTTCCGTTCCATTTGGATAAGTGTCTTACGAGAGACGCCATGTTTCTACGCGTTCGCAGCAGGTTATGCAGCTCGCTCAACCTAATTTCGCCATGGGGTTGGCCACGCCCCCCTTTTTAATGGCGGAAGTTGACGATACTTAGGAAATATTAATTTATTATCACTATTTACATCAAAATAATTGATAACTTGTGTTTCAGAATGCATTTAAAGACATTTAAACTGGAATGTTTTAATTTGAGCTTTAACAACCCGGTAGAATCCATATTATAAATGATCAGAATTTACCGTGTGCAACACGTTGTCATTGGCAACCATTCACAGCCACTTGCATAACTGTATCGTAGTACTACCTCAGAGTTTCATTCATAAGAGTTTGCCGTGTGCAAAAACTATTAAACCATTGGTCAGGGAAAGCTTTAATTAATTATTCATGTGCCAAAGTTGAACGTTTAAACTAAGTCTAAACAGTATTTTAGTGATAAGGCAGGGAATGCGTTGCCTTATATAAACTATATAGTCATTGCGCATGACGAGATTGGCGGAATGAGATCACAGAATGTGGAGATGCAGTCCATGTTAAAAAATGACAAACCAAGTCGTACTTTAAAAATTCATAACTTTAAAACTACAACAGCTAAAAATATGATTTTGGTGTTATAATTCTTTAAAAAATTACCTCTTTTCAACTATGCCATTGGTTTATTTTTACAAAAAGTTTAAATTTTCTTATCAAAGTCCCTACACTATTGGTCACTATTAGCGGTGCTGACTCTAGCCTCTGGTATGTTCAGAATATTAAACATTAAACAAGCTCAACGCTCGAAATAATCGATTAATGTATTGTGATCGTGTGGAATTCGGGAAAGAGAATTACTTTTATTTCAGATTATGATCCGGTGAGTCACAAAATCTGGCAAATTCCGAAATCCGGTATATTCCGAATTCCGGTTGTTCCGGGAATACATGTAAATCCGGCGGAACCGGATTTCACCAGATAGTGCAAAATCCGGCGGAACTGGATTCCGGACCAGATTCCGGCACACCCTGATAAATTCTGGGGATAGAGTCAGCACATGTACAGCATTACAAACACCCTGACAAATTCTGGGGATAGAGTCAGCACATGTACAGCATTACAAACACCCTGACAAATTCTGGGGATAGAGTCAGCACATGTACAGCATTACAAACACCCTGACAAATTCTGGGGATAGAGTCAGCACATGTACAGCATTACAAACACCCTGACAAATTCTGGGGATAGAGTCAGCAAATGTACAGCATTACAAACACCCTGACAAATTCTGGGGATAGAGTCAGCAAATGTACAGCATTACAAACACCCTGACAAATTCTGGGGATAGAGTCAGCACATGTACAGCATTACAAACACCCTGACAAATTCTGGGGATAGAGTCAGCACATGTACAGCATTACAAACACCCTGACAAATTCTGGGGATAGAGTCAGCACATGTACAGCATTACAAACACCCTGACAAATTCTGGTGATAGAGTCAGCAAATGTACAGCATTACAAACACCCTGACAAATTCTGGGGATAGAGTCAGCAAATGTACAGCATTACAAACCTTTTACATAACCACCCTTTGGTGAACACAGCAAAATTCTTCTGCAAAATAATTACAAACTTTTTACATGACCACAAGATATGTAATTTTTTTAGAGGCAGAGTGTTAGACAATATAAATGAGCAGCACTGAAAACAAAATATATATATAATCAAAAGGTGATTAAACTTTTTCCTTGTCAAAACTGAAAATAATTTAACTTTGTAACGTAAAGTAAAAGTAATCGTGAAATACTTGAAATTAAAGAAAATAATAGAATACGTAAATGATTGTAGGAAAAAATTAAAGGTTTAAAATTGAAAAAATATGTTTTAATGTTTCAAAAGTACTTTTGAAAATACTTTTACCTTCAAAATTAATCATTCCATCCCCAGTGAGATCAGCCTCTCTGATCATCTCATCCACCTCCTCGTCTGACATTTTCTCTCCCAAGTTGCACAGAATATGTCGGATTTCATTAGCACTTATCTGTCCATTGCCATCCTTATCAAATATCCTGTTTTAAAAAATGTTTAAATATCTGATTGTATTATAGCAATAAATTATAAATGCATAAGAGGTGGAGGCATTTTCAAAACGAGATGAGTTGAAAAATTTTTAAAAAAATAAATATTTGAATTACATCACAATGATGAAGCCATAGTTTTTTTGTTTCAGTTCCCTCAGATATCGGTTGTTTCATGTTTTGCGTACCATTTTTATTATAGTTTCTGACCTAATTAGATACAAAAGTTTCACATTTTTAAAGAATTCATAGCAGTGCGAAATATTTTGTAAACAGAGTCAGTGCAGTGTAATACTTTAATATTATTTCTCAAGTACTGAGGAAATATGACCTCAACAACAATGTGAACGGCCCTTGAATATGAAATTTAGAACTCAACAATAAAGAACGTAAATATTCTACAAACAATTGCATTTTTATTTACACAATTGTCAATTCTACAATGAGACATTGTAAATCTTAGAAGACGACGACTTCAACCAGATCAAAGTCCATTAACTGTGGCATAACAAGGTTTCAATGCAGATTGTTACTGCCTGGTTTTTATCACATACTTAAGTAACATTTGGAGAAGATGAGATGCTATCAAGAACAACACACGAATATTTTAACAGAATATAAAATATATTTTTTTCTCTTTGAAAGAGATCCATACAATTTAATAGAAAATAATGATTAAGTTAAGTGTATTTTGCAGAAGATTAGGGCTAATAAATATGACCAAATAGGGTCATTAGACTCTACAGCTATGACCAGAAAACAGTCCATGAAATTAAATCCCTGTCATATGAAAAATACCAAAAACTGAAAACTTAGCCATAATCATGTACCGAGTAACACTGTGTATACTGAAAGAAAAAAATAATGCGTTGATAAGACCTTTCTGTCTAATTATATTTTTACCTGAAGGCTTCTCTTAAGGCATCACCAGATTCAGGGGCAAATTCGTATTTAGCAATAATAGCCTCGATCTGTGCACAGTTCAAATTTGTGATACCTGAAATTTTGAATGATTAAATATAATGGTGATAGACTATAATGGCACATGGCTTTACGAACATCAATAGGTCATCTATTAGGTTCTTATTTTTAGCCTGCACTCTGTTTACTAAAAAAAAAAAATGTGGGCCTTATGGGGTGTGAGTTAAAATACAAATATAAGATCAGGTGTCAGAATCACAATCTGTTTTATTGCCTTTACAAAATGTGTCCTCCTAAAGTTCTTTGGTAAATGTTCACATTCTCTTCAACATTGTAAAAAGTGAAGCATAATTTTGAGAAACATATGTTGCAGTGAAGTTAAAAAAATGAGAATTTTTTTTTTAAATATTGAAAATATATGACAGTTGATTCAAATGTAAACAAATGCATGTGGCCAGAACCTGTTCCCGGGCAGGATACAACATGCAAAAATTATCAGACGGCCAGCCAAAAAATATTTACTCGTTGCTAGCCCAGGTCTTAAGTGTCTAACTTTTATTTCCCTTATTATAATTTTTCGTACAAAGCTTGCAAACGAACAAAGGGTCAACTAAAGGTCAAGTTAATCATTACCTTTACTCTCAAATTCACGACACAAAGCATGTAGCTGGGCCTCAGTGGGGGCCCGGCCAATAGACCTGATGACAGTTCCCAACTTGCTGAGAGGAATTGTGTTGTTTGCTGAGCAATTCATGGTGAAGGCCTCTTGAAGCTCTGCAGAAAATGACAAAATTAATAAGAGATAATCCATAACTTAGACATCTTATAAGTCTTAATAGCATCTTTAAAATGCAGAGTTTTTGAAGTACTCAGACAAAAATCATAAATGATTGATTATAAAATTACTTGGGAAGGTAAACAAATATTGGCTATATCCAGATGTTCAGTTAGGTGCAGAAAAGTTTGAAATAGATGATAAAATTACATTTTATGGAGTACCTAAACCTAAGCTTTTTTTCATCTTCCAACTAACATGCTTTAGTTTCTTCACATTCATGTTCGATTTTAAATATTTGGGCTATTTCAGATTGAGCGGCCCACAACGACTTTGTTTTGGATTGACTCCCCTTATTTTTTTCTTATATTTTTTGTTAAATAAAGAAAAATATTTAACTTACCTTCTTTCTTAAAAGGCTGCTTTGACTAAGGAAGAAAAGAAAATAGGAAAACAGATTTCACTCAGTTGCCTATCAACACTATATTACATAAGGTTCATAATAAAATACATAAAGCTACATCATAAAATACATAATTCTCATGTAACAATGTCATATAACACTACCATGCCCCGCATAGGGCGCTGATTTCACTAAATGAAATTCCCAGTAATTGAGCAAAATGAGATTCTTAAAATGCTACATGTGTTTTGGGTGCGTAATATTTTCTTTTGTAATGGCATTTATATTCTGCTAAACAAAGGTGCTTTCCTACGCTTACGGATGGTTACTTGAATGCATGTTTTGGTCAAGTAACATTATTAGATGGGGATGTTCACACATATAAGTATAAGAAATGTTTGGAGGGCTATAGTTTTTTGGTCACAGTCTCTGTTTGCCTAATTTATTATAAGACTGACAAAAGACAGGCAGAGAGGCATGTTTTTCTAAAATTTATTCCCACATCCAGTGGGTTCAATACAAAAAAAAAGGGGGGGGGGTGGAAGCAGTTGCTTCCAATCTGAGATGGGGGGGGGGGGAATTTTTGAATTTCTCCGGGTAAAAAAATTAGTTTTGCAAGGAAAAAACATGTTTTTCTAAAATTTATTCCCACATCCAGTGGGTTCAATACAAAAAAAAAGGGGGGGGGGGGGGGAAGCAGTTGCTTCCAATCTGAGTTGGGGGGGGGGGGAATTTTTGAATTTCTCCAGGTAACAAAATTAGTTTTGCAAGGAAAAATGCAAATAAAATACCGGTACTTAAAATAAAATAATGTAATTTTTGTTGGGAGAAAACACAGTTGTCTGGCGATTGAATTCCAAACCATGGGGCCTGAAAATTGAATTTTAACAATCAAAACTAAAATTAATTACCATGATTGAAGCTAATTTCGTTGAATATTTCTTGCTTTTATTCCCTGACTGTAGGCTGTAGCCAGTGTAGGAAGTAAGGTGTGCACTTTAGTCCAGAAACTACACCTGTGTGACGTCATTTACAGGAAGTGTAAAAACCAGTTTCGAAACAAAAAATTATAAATATAAAAGAAAAAATTATGAATGGTAATTTTTAATTGAAAAAAATATTATTCAGAGTGTTATGTTTATCAGCGATAAAATCATTAAAGCCCTGGAAATTCTTATTAATATTTGTTTTCAAATAATTACGTACAAAGAAAAGTTAAAAAGGAAATTTTCTATTATATTGGATTTAGACTCCCAATTCAAATACTATTAGGGGCTGACGTCAGACACGGAAGTGTACCATGGTAAGAAAATGAAAACAACATTTGGTTGAACTAAAAGCCATAAAAATAGTTTTTAAATATTTACCGTATTTATTGGCGTATAATACGCACCTCAATTTAAGATGGAAATTTCAGGAAAAAAAACTAAACATTATATCGGCGTATAACACGCACACATCATTTGCCCCCTATTTTCAGGGAGAAAATGTGCGTGTTATACGCCAATAAATACGGTACTTCTTACAATAGTTTGCTTTGTACTTTGTCCTCATTACAAGGCCCAGAATATATAAGGCAATCTCCAATAATGTCTGTAAATGACTCTTAAAAATAGTCTGGTATTTTCATGTGTGATTTGAATCCAAACCCAGTCATAAAGGTGTCTTATTAACAATCCTAAACCAGTGGTCGACAAAGTGCTGCTCGCAAGCCACATGGGGCTCTTTAGCGACCTGGGTGTGCCTTGTTCAGTCAGCCAAAAATTTGGGGTTGACTACAAAAGCATGGTTCTTGACAGGTTCTTGAAAAGAAATTTGGCCCTCAAATTTTTAAAAATCGTTCTGCTGCTGATTTTTGGCTCTTTTGACTAATGGATTTGCCAACCACTGTCCTAATTAAAAGTGTTATTCATGAAAATCTCCTCAGTGTTTTCATGTTGTCACAATGAGTCAAAATGATATTGAATCCAACTTAATTTTTAATTAATTGCCCCTATAAAAATAACAAAGGCAAAGACGACTACATTATACCATCTGCATCGATTTTGGGCTTCCAGAGGTTTGCTTCATGACTACGTCTACGTCTCCAAGTCATGTGATTCAAGTGCGCCAATATGTTAAAACCATAGTTTGGCTTTAACCAGCCTCAAATTATTTAGTCTTGATTAAATATTCCATTGAGTTATAATATTTTTGTGATAAAATCATTTGACAAAAACAGTAAAAAAATTTTAAAAGAAAGAGTAGGCCTACACACAATCAATAGTCTGCAAACATAATAATATTTTTATTTCATCTAAATAATAATTTTACATATAATCAATTTTAAACGCTTGCTTTAAAAATTAAAAAAATTCAACTATAAGATTACTTATATCGGTATATTTTCTTAACTCTAATCATGCAAGAACGATTTCATTCCCAGTCCCTCATGTATGTAATATAAAGTAGGCCTAGGCTTTTGGACATTTTATTTTTTATTATTATAGGATTTGATATTTAGTTCTATTTTATCAATATATTACCTTTAATATAAAAATATTCACAAATAATTTGGTGGTATAACGTTTCGAGTAATATTATTTGCTCCGATTTAAAGTATGACACCATGGAAACAAGCCAATCCATCTCAAAATGTGTCTTCTTGTATTTTGCGGTTAGTAATGTTATTTAGTGACACCGAATGAACAACCTATGTTTATTGATCATAATACTAGAATTCGAAGTGCAGTAAAATTTAAATTTGTTTAGCACTATTCACGATCACTATGTCACTTTATGAGAATTTGAGTATTGAAGATCAAAAGGCTTTTGTAGTTGATATTGGAGCTGCTTATGTAAAGTAAGTAGTTTATTAGTAAGCAGTTCAGTCTCTAAGGCAGTTGTAAGCACCTCCTAAATCTGATATAACTACTATACTATGTATAATAATTATAATATAGGCTAATATAGGTAATCCCTTATTATTTTATACCAATAATATACATTATAAACAGTAGGCCTATACGCTCAGTAGTAGCCTTAAATACATCATACTTGTATAGTCCTGGCTAAATAATAATAATAATATAATTTAAATATTATAATAAATACACTACACTTTCACTGCTATACTATACTTAATACTAGGATCTAAGAGTCTAAGTCTAAGACTATTACTATTATACTACTGTGTGATAATTGCTAGGACTAGGAGTGATTAGTCCTACACTAGTACAGTTGAGTGCAGACAGTGCGTCAGTGATAGATACAAGTTGAGTCAATGACTTGAACTTGAATGATTGAATGACTAAAAGTTGAATGACTAAAAGAAGTCAAATGTGATACCTATGAAACTTAAAATTATATACTAGCCCTCAGTCTATCCTATTCACTCATTTGATTCATCAATCCCTGAGTCACAGATCAACAGACCTGGTTACTAGCATGATTTTGATGTACAATATATGATTTTGATATGTATTTTACAATTATACGCTGACACCCATCAGAACTACAATTAAGAGACTGGGCTGAAAAAATATATTCTGGTACCAGTAGTTTTAATGATTAAAAAAATTGTTTGTTGTTAGTTTTAGCTCCTTGGATAAATCAAACAATACGATTGGTTGGGGACCATTCATAATTATATTATATTATTATGTAGTCAGGGAGAGAGGAAGGGGCGAGGTGGTCATATTGACTAAGGCTTAGGAGCTTACGCTTGTAAATGGTGGAATGTAGGGGTAGGTGTCTATATATTTTTAAGGACTATAAAATAAAACAACTTGTTTCATAATGATGTTGATGATTATCATATCATTGCTGTGTGTATCCACAATGAAGTCACTAGATACAGCAATACTAATACTTTGCGTTGTCACTCTAGCAGACCTGTTTACCCTCAAACTCTTAAAATCATACAATATAATCACAAAATTGTTCAATACATTATCTTAATAGTAAAAAAATAAACATAAGTATATATAATGTATATACCGCAAAATCATACATTGTATGCCGAAATTTTAAAAGTAAACAGATCTGCCCTAGACAAAAATTTAGTCAACCTTTGCTTCAGTGCTGTATGAATTAATTTTGCGCCATAATTAGTTCAATCTTTGGCTGAATCACCGCAATTTAAAAAAATGGTAAAAAATATGTCTTTTTAAAGAAAAAAAAAAGCATTTTCTCAACTGCTATGCACAACAATGTTAGAGTTTGATATATTTTATAAGATCTTGTAAGCTGCATTAGACATCTAGTATTAGAACTCATTAAGCAGCTGCACAATATTAATACCCCAGTTTTGTTCCAGCATTCCTCTTCCCTTCTACTTATACAGCTTGCCGTTGTTATTTGACTATAATTAGTATAATAATATGTTGAAGGAAAATAAAATCATGCTCATACTCGTAGGCTTAATACAAGGATGGCCAGAATACATGTGATATGCCACATTAAATACAGTGGCTTGCTGGATGTATCACAAACTAACTTTTTTCTTCATTCAGTTAGCTATTATGTTCATCCTTGATATAAACGCACATGGTACATAATTTTTTGGACTGATTTAAAAAAAATAGTTTAAATGTAAGTAATTTCAAATATTAAATAAAAATTATAAATCATTTTAATATTAAGTAGGGGTACATATTAAAATTAAAGGATTTGTATAAACACAGCAAGGAAAACTGGAGCCTGATTTTCCACATGCATTTCTTCAGTTGTTCTCAGATTAAGTCTAGAATGATGCAAAACTATATTCAGAAAAGTGCATCCCTGCATTTTGAATTTTAAAAAAAATTTTCTGGGGTGTCGACTCAGCCCCCAGACCCCAAAACCCCACCCACACTTTTGCTCAGGTGTTTTCAGTGGGTGGCCTCGATTTTTAACCCCCCCCCCCCATCTTCATCTATAAAAAAATTGCAGAAAATTTTAAAAAAAATTTTCTGGGGTGTCCACTCAGCCCCCAGACCCCAAAACCCCCCCCCCACCTTTGCCCAGGTGTTTTCAGTGGGTGGCCTCGATTTTTAACCCCCCCCCCCCCATCTTCATCTATAAAAAAATTGCAGATGGCGGGCACCTATTTATGTGCACTGAAGGACTTGATATAAAAAGGTCAGTCATCTACTTTGTTAGACATGCATTGCGAGTAGTTATTATATACATTAAATCGCTGTACTGTATGTTGGTTTATTTAGGATTTTGAGATGGTTTAGTACTTTTCTGAAATGGTTTTGGGAGTTCCAGGGTAACCAGGTCTTGATCAATGATTTGACACTGCATGATGAGTGCATACATTCACAGATACCGGTATTACTAATTAAGGCTTAACGTACCTGTTACTGAGACACATTAGTCACCAAAATTAAGTCTTTTAAATAACATATCAGTAAAACCTACGAAACTGTCATAATGTTTTAAGATACCGGTAATCTCTTGTTTTTGTGTGTCAAATAGGCCTAAAGTAAAAATGAAATGGTTAATTTTTTTCATAAAAATACATTGTTATTTTAAAAAAAAAGAATAAACTTTTTGTTACCGGGTACTGGTATTTGATTGCCGTCTTTCTATGCCAAAATAACAACCATTGTACATCAGCAATCCGATCCAGCAGCTATTTGGGCACGTGCCCTTTGACCTCTCTGCACCTGTTCTTGGTCTGCGTATAACATGTTGATGCTGTTTGGTTCACTTGATTGGTAATTTTTAAGGCATAAATCAGGGAGTGCTGGGCATTGTTAGATATGATGTATTACTGACTCATTTGGATGTCTGTTTATGTGGCACATTGGTGTATTCTCTGGCTGCCATTGGTTAAGGTTTGAATTTAAGTTTTATGTGTTCTGTACACAAGCAAAGGGTTATGACCCGTTCATGTCTTTGTTTGATGCATATTATTTGTGCAAGCCCTTTATGAACAACCCCTAATGAAAACACAAATATATTAGGGTGTAGTATATCAGATGCAAGTACTGCAATCCACCGTCTTATCATATTTTTTTTGGAGTGGAGGGGGAGGTGGATTGATGTGTTTCATTGAAACTTTCAACACACTTCCTATTGAGCCCATAACCCATCCATTTAAACCACTTTTCATTTTGGTGAGCTCCGATAATCTTTTTTTAGCAGTGTTTAGTGATGTAGGTATGTGTGGCTGTTTATAAATTATTGGAGTGATGTAGGTATGTGTGGCTGTTTATAAATTATTGGAGTGATGTAGGTATGTGTGGCTGTTTATAAATTATTGGAGTGATGTAGGTATGTGTGGCTGTTTATAAATTATTGGAGTGATGTAGGTATGTGTGGCTGTTTATAAATTATTGGAGTGATGTAGGTATGTGTGGCTGTTTATAAATTATTGGAGTGATGTAGGTATGTGTGGCTGTTTATAAATTATTGGAGTGATGTAGGTATGTGTGGCTGTTTATAAATTATTGGAGTGATGTAGGTATGTGTGGCTGTTTATAAATTATTGGAGTGATGTAGGTATGTGTGGCTGTTTATAAATTATTGGAGTGATGTAGGTATGTGTGGCTGTTTATAAATTATTGGAGTGATGTAGGTATGTGTGGCTGTTTATAAATTATTGGAGTGATGTAGGTATGTGTGGCTGTTTATAAATTATTGGAGTGATGTAGGTATGTGTGGCTGTTTATAAATTATTGGAGTGATGTAGGTATGTGTGGCTGTTTATAAATTATTGGAGTGATGTAGGTATGTGTGGCTGTTTATAAATTATTGGAGTGATGTAGGTATGTGTGGCTGTTTATAAATTATTGGAGTGATGTAGGTATGTGTGGCTGTTTATAAATTATTGGAGTGATGTAGGTATGTGTGGCTGTTTATAAATTATTGGAGTGATGTAGGTATGTGTGGCTGTTTATAAATTATTGGAGTGATGTAGGTATGTGTGGCTGTTTATAAATTATTGGAGTGATGTAGGTATGTGTGGCTGTTTATAAATTATTGGAGTGATGTAGGTATGTGTGGCTGTTTATAAATTATTGGAGGCTATCTGTTTTTCTGCTCTCCCATTAATCATTTCCCTGTATTTTTTGTTTGTCATGGTATCCACATTGTAAGGTTACCTTGACTGCATAGGTTTCAAAGAGGGTGTTTATTTTAAGAGGTAGTGATTGTACTGCTTTAGCTATTGTATTGTTAGGTCTTGGTGCCATTTGCCACAAGTACGCCATTTATTTCAATATTATTTGACACAAATTTTAAACAAATTTACCATTTACAAAAAAAGTAAGTCCCCACTATCTTTTGTCATTAATGCCAGCGTCATTTTGAAATGTGTGTGACATTAGATTATAGGGTACTGGTATAACATTTGTACATCCGGTTATATGTGGCACTGGCATTACAATGGCGTGAGAACATGTAAATATATGGAGTTGTTTTTAATTTCATTACATCATTACATAATCAGTTCTGTATACCCAGGTGCGGCTTAGCAGGAGAGAATGGCCCTACCTGTATTATTCCCAGCCTAAGTAAAAACTCAAGAACAGGACAGGTAAAATTTGTGGTTAAATTATCCATTTTAATAAAATATAACAATATTTAACAGTGTACGAATGTATTTTTTAATGGTCTTTCAATAGTATGAGTGGTAGTGAAATGGGGAGACTTTGCCTATATTTTGCCTTTATGAATCATTTTCAACATGTTAACTGATCTAAAAACGAACACAAATTTGCTAATGTACAGAGAGGGTACCTGCAATTTGCTGTTATAGTTGAATTAATTCATAGTTTTATCAGGTGAAGTTGATAATTTAAGGTTTTTTGAGATTTCAGAAACCAAGGAAAAATGGGGGAGAGGGGTGGAGGGTGGGGGACTTTCCCTTTTAAGTGGAAAAACAACACGATGCATGTAGAATTTATAAATACAAACAAACAACTCATTTTTTTCCCCTGTATTTACTGTTTGATCGTAATATTTTATTGCAATGAAAGGTTGGGGGAAAATAGTAACACCAGTTCACATAAAAAATGATTTTCTGTGATCTATTCTTTCGAGGCAAATCTTCGTCATACGTTTTCGGAATTACGCCATCTAATGATAGCTTTAATTTCTTTCCTATTATCTCTTATTATATCTTTGTCACACAACATCCTGATCTCGTTTTAAAAAATCCAATTTACCAAGTCATCTCGAAGAGTGTCATCCTTGAATTGCTTCACAGCGATTTTGCTTTCATCAAGATCAGACCATAATAAAAAATTTCAATATTTTTTAGTTGAGGTATTCCAAAATCTGATAATGGTTTCAGGTGTGTTTACTAAGTTTACTTTAATTCTTCTGACAGAGAGCTTGCTCTCCAGTTGTTTTCTTGTGGCTACATTAACATTTACTAAGTTCTTCATAGAGTTCTCAAATCAATGGTGTCTTTCCTTTTTAGATGACTTCCATAGGCCTGGTAATAGATTATCTTTTACAATTCATCCCTATCATTAAGCTGAGAGTCTTCAGTATTGTCTCTATAGCTTTTGTTAATAGGAATTATCTTGTTAAGTCATGTCAGGATGATCTGGAAAAACAAAAACAGAGAGAGATCAATATAAATCAATGTATCAGTCCGTGGGGTGACTTTGCCCCATGGTGTGAAAGAAAAGCGATAAAGATTTATTAAACTTTAACTTAACCAACATAATGAACCTATATATCCTTGAAATTTGTAAAAATTAAATGCATAAGGACATAAATTATAATGCCTTAAAATGAAAGTTTAAACTCACCAACTCAGCAAAAGGCTAAAACTGGGACAGGATGCCACGACGTTTATTAAATTTACCGTGAATTAGGGTTCAGGTTAGGTTTAGGGATACATTTACTTAGATTTAGTGACAGAATTAACTGGTCTTATCAACCTAGATGGCGGCCATTGGAAAAAAAACATGGCATCTCTTCTGTGAATTTACCCAGCAAAATATCGATGTCCAGAGTCTAAGAGCTCCAACAGTCAAATCTTATGGTTTGGCAAGGTAAGGAAAGCAAAACTACAAGACCACATAAAGCAACATGACTGCTTTCATGAAAATGTTACAAAAATTAGGGGAAAGAACTCTAGAAAATCATGAAAAACAACTTTCTCAATATAAGTATTTAATAAGGCAAAGTCACCCCATTTCACGGGTAGGTATATCAAATTCTGAAATGCATTTCAAAAATCAATGTTAATTAGTGAAAGTAATATCCAATTCACATTGTAGGTTGTAAAAATATGGGATTACAAGAATACAGAGGAACTTTATGAATATTTGAAGGACCTTTTATACACACTGTTGTTTAGGTAAGATTTGCATATGATAATTTGTGTTTTTAGCTCGGTACAAAGCTTTTTCTGTCAATTTGATACTCAAATAGTTAAAACACTTCAACGATTGTGCTTGAAGACAATCATTGTGCTGCAATGCGATCAGTTAGCTTTGATTAAAGTTTCCGTTTTTGAAACTAAATTTCCAGACACTTGCTGCTGACCCCAAGAGACAAAAGAGTTGTTGTTATTGAGTCTATACTGTGTCCATCTGACTTCAGAGACACACTTGCTCGTGTCCTCTATAAACACTTTGAGGTTTGTGAAGCATTTACTTATGGATTTGTGTTTGCAGTTCTTATCAAACTAAAATTAAATGAAATTTTACTGTTGTATCGATTCAGAATTTTTGGAGGAGAAAAAAAGATAAAAATAAATATTTTTATTTATAAAAAACGCAAAACCATTTCAGCTGCTGAATGTAACTTATAAAGCAATGAAAGTATTACACATTTTTATGTCCCGCATCAGTTAAAAAAAAATTAACATGCATAAACTTAACTATTGGAAAGTACCGGTAATAACATATATCAAGCAATTTTTAAAATAAGTGTTTCTCAACCCGCGATGCTCAGACACCAAGGGGTAGCTTGATATCATCACCTGACAAAATATCATGTAGTTTATTCCATATGTTTTTTTGTTGAAGTACCGGTAATAATAGTTCAAGTTTTGCTATCTTAATTAATCTAGTATTAGAATACAAATAATAATTATTTTTTTTTCCAGGTTGGCTGTGTTTTGTTTGCCCCAAGCCACCTGCTGTCACTGCTGACATTGGGCACCAACATTGGCCTAGTCATAGATGTAGGATATCAAGAAACTTTAGTGATTCCAGTATCCTTTTGTCTAAACACTGTTGAGGTGGGTAGGGGGGAAGTTTTTCTATACATTTCTAAAGATTAGTTGCACAACTAAGAAGAATAAATTGAATCACCAGCTTTGTGTTCCTGCCATTGTCTCTTGTAGAAGCATTATGATATACCGGTAATGATTTTTAAAATTATGATATACCGGTAATGATTTTTAAAATTATGATATACCGGTAATGATTTTTAAAATTATGATATACCGGTAATGATTTTTAAAATTATGATATACCGGTAATGATTTTTAAAATTATGGTTACCGGTAATGATTTTTAAAATTATGGTTACCGGTAATGATTTTTAAAATTATGGTTACCGGTAATGATTTTTAAAATTATGGTTACCGGTAATGATTTTTAAAATTATGGTTACTGGTAATGATTTTTAAAATTATGGTTACCGGTAATGATTTTTAAAATTATAGTTACCGGTAATGATTTTTAAAATTATGGTTACTGGTAATGATTTTTAAAATTATGGTTACCGGTAATGATTTTTAAAATTATGGTTACCGGTAATGATTTTTAAAATTATGGTTACCGGTAATGATTTTTAAAATTATGGTTACTGGTAATGATTTTTAAAATTATGGTTACCGGTAATGATTTTTAAAATTATGGTTACTGGTAATGATTTTTAAAATTATGGTTACTGGTAATGATTTTTAAAATTATGGTTACCGGTAATGATTTTTAAAATTATGGTTACTGGTAATGATTTTTAAAATTATGGTTACTGGTAATGATTTTTAAAATTATGGTTACTGGTAATGATTTTTAAAATTATGGTTACTGGTAATGATTTTTAAAATTATGGTTACTGGTAATGATTTTTAAAATTATGGTTACCGGTAATGATTTTTAAAATTATGATTACCGGTACAAATTAAAAATATTTTTTAATAAATTTATTTTGAATTAGTGTGATTCCTAATATTTATAATGTTGCTAATTTTGGTTTTTAATTTATTAAAAAAATTTCAAAAGCAAATATATGAATGTATTCTAGCTCTCTTAAAACTTGAAATGCCTCTTGAGACAAAAGATTAAAATAGCCTTATTGATGAAATTTCAGCTTTTGCAAGGGGATTTATCCATTCAAATCATCTCCATCTCTTCTAAAAAAAATCAGATACACTGATTATAATTATCAATTGATGTCTCTTTAACTTTAATTTTAATGAATGCAAAATAAAGTTTAGTTCAAGTGGGTAAGTGCCAAGCTGATTTGGTTTACACTTAACTTCAACTTTTGAAAGATTTATGAGGGAATTCACATCTTGAAAGGGTTGCAATCCATTCCACTTGCTGGCAAAGCCATAGAGAGGTACTGTCCATTGGCGTACACAGCTGAGTGTGTCTTTAACTTTAGCGTCTAATGCAATGTGTGTTAAATACTTGTTTTAATGTTTTATTTTGAAGAAATTGATTGGATCATTGCAAGGGGTCGTTCAGTTCATAAAGGACGTCTGCAAAGATAGAGGCAGGGGGCACGAAATGTGAAAGATCCTGTGGACATAGGCAATCTAGAATTTTGTCCTTTAGGCCTACTGTGCAGAGGCGTAGCGAGGGGGGTGCAGGGGGCGACAGATGTCCCCGGGCGCCAGGTAGTTAGGGGCGCCAAAATGTGCTTTGATATTATTTTTTTGATGAAAATAATGGGTTTGAGAGTTGAAAAAAAGAAAAAGGGGGCGCTTTAAAATGGATCTTGTCCCCGGGCGCGAATCTTGTCCCCGGGCGCCAAACACCCTCGCTACGCCGCTGCTACTGTGTGTATTCCAGCATGTTTAAAAGTTTTAAATTGCAGAAATCCTCTATGATCTATGGCTCATCTATTTGTGAAAGAATTATCATCTTAAACCACAAAGATTGTAATAAAAACTTCATTAGGTCTGGTTGTCTCTATTCAAAAGATTTATATTATCAGACTTATTTAGAAAGAAGTTTAACTCTTAGTGGCTCTTTGCTCTTATTATAATAGTTATTATACTACCTGCCATGGCATTTCCGCTGTTGACACTGCCAGATGTTGATGTCCGCAAGGAGGTGGGGTGCTTTAAAGCCACATGCGGGCAAGGGGGTGGAGACGATGCTTATTTCATGCAGACGTCCTTTATGAGCAACCCCTAATGAAAACTTAAATTAGGGTGTGGTAAATTGTATGCAAGCACTGCAATCAGTCTTCTTACATTGTTTTTGTTTTTTTTGAGGGATGGGTCAGATAGCGGTAAAATGAATGGCCACTATTTTATTGTCATTTCTCATTTTAGCCGCATTAAATCTCAGTTAATGGAACATGGCACCGTCTGCACAGCTGATAAACAACATCAAGCTGTGGCCAGCATACCAGGTAATGTATGACCTTGAACTCGGTTCTATAACTGCAGATTTTTTAACACTTTTTAAAATCGCCACTGTGCAGGGATGAAGACGTCTCTATCTCTTACGTCTCTACTTTCTCTTACATCTCTACTTTCCCTTATGTCTCTAATGCAATTTCCCTTCAGCTGCAGGTACAAGAAATATGGGCAGTTAAAAACTAATTAGAATTGATATTTTAACTAACTGTATTTAGTTCAGTTACGGTATACTAGTATGTTTCTTAGAGCACTGTTACTATTATCCACATTCCGCATAAAGTCCAAGTTTGCATACTAATTGAACAACAATATTGAATGTACCAGGTCCTGAGAATAAGAATGCATTGTTTTTTGTCAAGTTTTCCAAATCATTTGCAGTGAGACTGTTAAGCAAAAAAAAAGAAAGGGGGTTGGGGGGGGGGGCATTGGACAAATAAGGGCTAATGTAAATGTTTGAACCCAGGGCTTTAGAATAAATTATTGAATTGACTAATTGTAACATCTTTTTGTAAAGTAGGTTGCTAACTAAACAATAAGTTTCTGAAAAAGAAAAAATTAACTCTTTGATATAGTTAGGTTATGCAGCTTATGCAAATCAAGTACTGGATAACATTATTTAAAACTTCTAATTATTAACTATTGGTATTAATCAATTAATCTCTGTGTTTCAGACATTGTTACAGATGAATTGTTAGAGGATATTAAAAGTGAGTTATTAACTGTTACGGTTTTAATTCTGTTTACACTTTCTTTATCCGTTTCATTAAACAATATGATCCGCGTATTGATCCCAGTGAAAAATAGTACCATAAGAATAAAACAACAAAATGAAATTATCTGCCAACAAATAGATTCTTTAAGTTTTAGTTTTTAAACAAAATAACAACTAATTACTTCCATAATCCAAAATAATGGTTTTGAGAAAGCTAAAATAATGATACATCTATTTCCAGTCCGTTGTTGTTTTGTAACTGAATACACTCGTGGTCAGCAGATTCAAGATGTTACTATGCGGGGTGGACATGCAAATAAGGTTAGACAAACTATTCATACAATTATACCATACCATTACTAACATTAATTTCACCAATAACTGTATGTGGTCAATGTAGTGATTTACTCAAATGTAACAATGAAATATTGACAAAGTTCAGTAAGACTTTTGTCCTTGTTTGTTATATTTACAGCTACCACCTCCACCTCCTGACACTGATTATCCTCTAGATGGAAGCAGTGTGTTGAATGTCAGTGGGAGAATCAGGTAAGGCTGTTTCTATTTAATTATCCTATTGATTTTCAGTATTTTTATTTGAATGATAAACTATTATTTATTTAATTTTACCTTATTGATGAATTTCGTAAGAAACATTGATTTACATTTTCATCAGGGAACATTCTTGTGAAGTTTTGTTTGAACTGGACAGTGAGGAGGCGTCTATTGCCACAATTGTTTTAGATGCTCTTGTCAAGGTAAACACTTGAGTACGGTTACAATGGAAGTTAGAAAAAAAGCCCTTTTTAAAAAAAAAAAATATTAAGTGATGTATAAAATATAAAAAAATATTACCCTTTCAGTCTTCTTCTTCTTTATTTTGAGGGCCCACGATCAATGAATTGATCATTCTGGCTCCTATGTTTCAGAGGGGTTTGTGATGTTACTGTGCATGGGTTTCAATGGGATGCTTCACTGGTTGCAAGGGCGATTCAGCAATGGTGTTATGAACTGGGGGTTGGAATACAGGAGGCAATAGACACAAATGTGTCGAGTGTAGCCGCCTCAACTGTTGCTTTTGGAAGCTTGTTCCAGTCCCCTATTGTCTGCGGCAGGAATGAGGAGCTCCTGTACTTTGTTCTTGTTTTTACCAGCCGGAACTGTCTGTCCTGGCTTCGTCGCAGTCTAGGGGGAAGATGAACAAGTTTCTGTTTGATTCCGGAGCAGTGGACCAGCCCATTTTTTATCTTGTACAACATGGTGAGCCTGGATAGTCATCGTCGTTCTTCCAATGTAGACCAGCCTAGTGTTTCTAGCATGCTGACAACACTTGAGGTGTTTCTGTAGCGGTTCATGACAAAGCGTGCTGCCCGTCGCTGGACTGCCTCCAACCTGTCGATGCTTTTCTGGGTAAATGGGTCCCAGACTGTAGAAGCGTACTCTAAAATAGGCCGGACAAAGGCTTTATAGGCTTTTTCTTTCACGCTTGAGTTTCCGATCTTCAGGTTGCGCCTTAGGAACCCCAGGGTCTTGTTTGCCCGGTTGCACACACTGTTAATGTGCTCGTCCCAGCGGACCTCTCTTTGAATGGTAACAGTCTTTACACAAATGAACTACAATATAATTCTGTTTGATTTTTATTATAAAATGGATGTATATTTTACTTATCTGTTATTGTTATCTTTCAAATAATTTTTTTTCTTCTTCAAGTAATTAAGAGATTTGGATTACCCTACCTGTATCTTTGACTTTATAATTTAATTAATATAAACTATAACACTACAGTACCATTGGATTTTTTTTTTCATTCTTTCTCATTAAAATGAGTTAATTACAGTAATTAACATTTAATTTATACTCTTGTGTAGTGTCCCATTGACACCAGGATAGCTCTGGCCAGCAACATCCTGGTGATGGGGGGAACAGCCATGATGCCAGGCTTCTACCATCGGCTGCAGTTAGAACTCAGTAACCTTCTAAAGAAACCCAAGTATGCCCAGCAGCTGGGCATCAAGGGATTCCGGTTCCACAAGGCTCCAGCCAAAGAAAACTACACAGCATGGCTCGGAGGTAAACTGGTGTTGTACCACATCTTTATATTTTATTACCCGTGAGAAAACCTGACAAAGTTTTACACTTGTATAGCTTCAGGTGGGCCCTGCGGCTGCAGGGGCCTTGGAAATTAAAGGTCCCAAAGTATTGTGGATAAAAAATTAAACTTTCAACATTAAATGAAATGCCAAAAGTGCCCGAGGGGGGGATGGGATGAATGGATGATGAACTATCAACATTATGAGATGTGGGGGGTGTGTGTGTGTGGACAGATCAGGAAAATGCTTTTAGTTTTTAAACGGCAAGCATCATTTTCTAAAGATTTTGCTCAGCTTTAAAGCTGGTTCATCTTTGGTATTACAAATAATTGTCCCTTCTGTACAGGTGCTCTGATAGGTGCGCTGGAAACTCTTGCATCCAAGTCACTTTCTCGAGATGTTTATCTTCAAAAGGGAAAACTGCCAGATTGGTGTTGTATTGATTCAGAATTTTTGGAGGAGAAAAAAGGATAAAAATAAATATTTTTATTTAGACAAAAAATGTTCTAGCGAGCTTATTTACCAATTTGACAAATTGGCTATGGGGTTAGTTGCTTAATGCATAGTTATCTTTGTAATTTTTATTATTTTAGATTCTGGCTACTCATACTTGAATCTGTTTTACATTTCTGCTAAAGTTGCATTCATTAAAATATCAGATATAATGGACTCTTGAATTGTATAATTTTTTGCATTTCATTTCTTTTTGGTAATGTATCGGTCATCATGTGCAATAAATAGAACACAAAAAAAACACAACTTTTTTGTTTCTTTTTACTTATATGAAATGATTCAATGTCCATCATTGTGAATGAAATCTGTGATCAAAGGACAAACATAAAAGGAGCTAAAGCACATTAATGATTATACAGAAACTGATAACTTCAGGTACTTTTTTTTAATAAAATGAATGAAATTATTTATATCTATTCATCAGTTAGAATTGTTCTAAAATGGAGGCATTTGTAAAATAAATATTAAAAAAAAAAAGCAAGAACAAATTGTTGACAGTAAAACAAACACACACACCCCCCCCCCCCCCTTCTCTCATTCCAGCCAACCCATTGAACACAAGTGGTAATTAACAATATATTCATGCACCAGTATGCATGATAAAAGCGATAAAACTTTGCAATCAAATGCTAGATTGACAAAATGAAACTTTTCAATAACTATCATTTACATAAATGCAACTATTCAACATATTATACACTGACATTAAATTAAATCAACACCCTTTCTTGGGCACCTTGGTTGCGGTTTTAAAAATCATTAAAAAGCTATTAGAAAATTCAAACATCAATTGTCCACACTGCTGCAATTATCAAAACTATCTGTTAAAGCTATCTGATCTCTCTTTTAAAATCTTAAAATCCAATACCGGTACTAAAGTGATAAGTTTACAAGTAAAGTAGATTCCTTTATTACTTCAACATTTTTTTTAACTTTCACATTTTTTTTATGTACACTGGTATGTTTATTCAAGACTGCCTGTCCTACACACACAATTCCAGCTTTGTAACATTTTTGTCATCAAACAGTATCAAGATCTAGCATTGGTATTTCTGATTGTCGTTTTCGCATTGTTTCAATTTCCATTTCCTTCTTTTTCAAAAGTTCTTTCAGCCGTTCTATTTTGCTGTTTCTATAGGCTGGTTTGTTGACAAAAGCTGAGCTGTCGGCTGCGGAGCTTGGTGGTTCGGTGTTGTATCCACTGTCATGACTTTCATAGCTCTTGTCGCTAAGCAAACTTGAAGATGACACACTCGCTGCAGCTTCCAGTGACTGCAAAGCATCAGGTGAATGAATGATCTGATCTCCCAGTCGGCTGTCAGTGTTTGACGATTCTGTGGAAGCATCCTTTCCCAGATTTAATGTGTCATGACCTACTACAGCTGAGGTGGGTGCAGAAGTAAACATGGGTTGGAGAACAGGAGGGAGGTCCTCAGTTGGGTCTCTCTCACTCTCTTTGGTGTGAGGAGTCAGCTGTGGCCCACTGGATGTCTCATCCGTCAGGCAGGGTGGATCATCAGATGTTTCCAAACAGCCGTCTCTGCGAGCCACTGAACTGCTGGTTAGCTCACTTTCTTTACTGACGCCTGTCTGTATGGGATCTGTAATAAGATTACTTACAAAAGGTGATGGCAGTGTTGAGGTCATGGATATTTCTGAGGTAACTGTCCAGTTGTCATCTAGAGCATACTCGGAATCATCTGGCTCAGATTTGATCACAATGCCGGGAGGCAGGGGGTATTTCTGTTTTAACCTCTGCCTCCTAGATGCATGCTCAGCTTGCGTCAGTTGCAATGTTGTCTTCCTGCGGCAGGGAAGTAGTGTACTGTCTGGTGGTAAATGAGACAAGATACTTCTAGAGTCTCCATAGTCACAGTTGACAATGGAAGCAGTTTGTTGTGGTGGCTGATGAATGGGGGTTGATATGATTGTGTTAATACTTTGCCTGTTTTTCTTGCTGTTTCTCATCAGTGTGATGCTCCGCTGAGACTGGGGCAAAATACAAGTGCCGGTACGGTCTGTGTTAGACAGGACCATCGGTGGCGCAGAGGATGAAGACAGATGGACAGAATCCTGAGTTTTATTTTTTACGTTTCCGAAAGATGACATTTGCTCAGAAGCCATGGTTAATAAATGCTTGAGAGCTGCTGTACTGCTGGTCTGGGGAGAAGCTAAAATTTTGGTCTGGGGAGTAGCTATTATGTTGATCTGGGGAGTAGATGTCCTGTTGGTATGGGGAGTCGATGTACTGTTAGTTTTGGGAGGAGCTATCATGTTGGCCTGGGGTGAAGCTATAATGTTGGTCTGAGATAAGGGTGTTATGTTGGTCTTAGACGAAGCGATAATGTTGGTCTGGGGTGAAGCTACAATGTTGGTCTGGGGTGAAGCTATAATGTTGGACTGGGGCCAGGCCTTAATGTTGGTCTGGGGAGAAGCTATGTTGGTCTTGGGTGTATCTATAATGTTGGTCTTAGGTGAAGCTTTAATCTTGATCTGGGGTGAAGCTATAATGTTGGACTGGGGCGAAGCTATGTTGGTCTTGGGTGTATCTGTAATGTTGGTCTGGGGTGAAGCTATAATGTTGGTAGAGGGAGTAGCTATATTGTTGATCTTGGTAGCAGGTGCAATGTTTGTCTTATCTACCTTTTGGACATTGCTCCCACCTGGCTCACAGCCATAATGCAAAGGTGGCAAGGGACCACTGGAAATCTTCACAAGCACATGATCATTGTCAATTTTCAACAGAAAGTAATGATTGTCATCCATGGTGGGATTTCTCCCTGTCATCATCAAATACTTGACCAGTGATTTTAAAGCATTTTCAACCTTGCTCTGTGAAATGTGTGGGGTTCGCTCGATGATCTGACCAGAAGGATTAATGGTGACACTGTGGAGCAATGGAGCTGTGTTTGATGGACTGTTGGATACATCAGTGGCTTGTCCAACACTGCTGTGCGATGTGCTTGCTGTTGGCGAATTCAAAAGTTTTTGTACTGATGAAGGTGTAAGCGAGTTTGATATGTTTGCCATGTCACTATAATGTCCTTTTACACCTGGACTAATGTTTTGTCCTTTTACACCTGGACTAACCTTTTGTATTTTTACACCTGGACTAATGTTCTGGTCAGTCCTCCTCTTTCGAATCCTCTTTTCTGATGAAGAATTGAAATTGCTCAGTGACTTGGCATGCAAGCTTTGGCTTCCCCCAACAGATTCATTCAAGTCTGAATGATGATATTCTGGTGTTTGTTCTGGTAGTGCCTGTGAGACGTTAGACTCAGCACCACGACCTTGTTCCAAAGCTATCTTCTGTTTTCTTTTTCTTTTCTGGCATTTCTTACACTTTTGTAGCTGTTTCCTTCTCTTCTCCACCTGCTTCTTGAGACGCTGTAATAGTTTATGAAATCCTGCATTTTTATTCATCAAGTCATAATCTGAGACGGGAGACTTTTTAGACTTTGAGCCTGGGGATTTATTTGCATTCGGCACATCTTGTGGGGATTTACTCGTACCTTTCCCCACTAAACTGAGTGATGATGGTGTCAATGGTCTGGCCTCATGAGTTGTACCGGTAACAGGAATAGGACACGCCGGCTCTGGAAGGCTGGGATCTGGGTTCATAACCACACAGGGATCTGGGTTCATGACCACACAGGGATCTGGGTTCATGACCACACAGGGATCTGGGTTTATTGTCGTGTGGGGCAACATTTCAGCTTGATCAGTTTCAGGTTCACACATCTGACCAACTTTCTTTGGAGGAGAAACTGACTGGACATCAGGGAGGTCATCGCAGGCCAGCAGGTTCAGCTTGCAGAGATAATCAAGGGTTCGCTTCCTGCAGTGGGTGCTACACCGTGAGAGGCTTTCATAGCCGCCCTGACAGCGGACTTCAGCCTTGGACAGCCTTTCAACAACAACAAAACATGGCACGATGATCTGCTTCCAGTCATTCGAAAGACAAACATTGAAACTGTCGGCTTGGACGTCCTCACTCAGATCAATAATGCTGTTAAAGTCTTCTAGACCCAAATGATCTTTATGATTTTTTAGGGAAAACACAGATTCTATTTTTAAATCACAGCTTTCATCCATTGCAGGATTTTCATTATTATTATTAATGATTTCCTGAATATTTTGCTTTCCTTGGCGTGTACTTTCATGTACACATTGATCTCTGTCTTTAGTGAGTTGCCCGATATTTGGTGTAAGATCGCTAGCAAGTTTACTTTGAATTTGACCGTTTAAAGGTTTCTCCACACTCTGATCAGGCATACTACAGGGAGATGCTTTAGATGTTTTTAATTCCAGGACATCAGCTTTTTCTTTAGCAACCAGATTAGGAACAGACCTCTTCATTTCTTGAAAGCTGGAAACCCCTTGCAGTCCTCCAATTCTACTTCCTGTTATGGTGAAGTCAAGTGGGCCGTGACTGAAAGCTGCTTGCTGTTCAGAAAGGTTTACAGTCACTTCATCAGCAGTTTTGTTTTGAGACTGCTTGGAGGATGTCAACAGTGTGTTTAATAACCTGATATCTTGCTCTTCTGTCATGAAACTCTGTTCAGTATCAGAATCAGTTTCACTACCGGTACCATCATCAACACTTATATATGGAACATTGGGTGCTGATATTTTATCGCTTATATTTTTACTGGGAACAGAGGATTGAATAGTGGCTAGCTTCGCATTTTTATGACCTGCGGTAGGTTTAGTGAGGTGAGTTACAAACACATCATCTTCTCTGACTTCTGGGATTTCATCAGAGCCATCTCCCATGTCTGGAAACAGCAACCTAACAGGAACCAGGCCCTGACCCGTCCTTAGACTGGTTACAAAAACACCCTTAGGCTCACGGCTTGTGATGGGAGCCACTAGATTCAAATTTTGTGGATTTTGTTTGCTTTTTCGTTGCCTCGGCTTTCTCTTCTTGGGCTCTTTCACTGGGTCGAAGGTCAGAGTGTCATCTGGCTTCACGGTGACACAGGGCAGCATTTCCACCGAGTTCTTAAGATTGCTGACAGGGTTCAAAATACTTTTGGAGGATGCCACGGGCTTCACTTTATATCTCAGAAGACTGCTCTTGGATGCTCCCTGCCCAAAAGTTCCCAACGAGGCATCATTAGAGCTGCTTGGCAATAACAAAATCATTTTGGGAGGTGTCTTCTTACCCGTCCCCGCAACAGTTGACGTGCTTGCAGAATTCGGGACGGAAACTACTGTAGTTGTAGGGTTGGCATTAGCGAGGCCGCCTGATGTACAGACGGCTTGAGTTTGTGTCTTGCGGACAGTTTCAGCCCCCACTTGATGAGGAAACACAATGGGTTTTCCTGCATGGCTCTGAACCAGTTCAGTGGGCACGAAGGCCAGCTTACTGAACCTGGATGGAGACTGAGCCAAGACAGGGGACGTGAAGGTGGCTGGCGATGGTGATGGTGAAGAGATGTAGAAATATGTTCTGTTCGCGGCGGGGGTAATATTTGGCCTAACATTATTGTTCGGAACGTTTGAATTAGTGACAGTGGCAGGTACCAGCAGATTAGCAGCCAAAGGCCTGAAACTCGATAAAGGGGGTCCTAATATTTGAACATATTTCCTCTTACCGACGGCCTGGTTGACATTGTTTGCTTGATTACCACTGTGACTGATCTCAGGGGTTTGATTGTTTTGAGATGATTGGTGAGATTGTTTTTTGTTTTGAGATGATTGGTGAGATTGTTTTTTGTTTTGAGATGATTGGTGAGATTGTTTTAGATTGTTCAGGATTGCAGTAAAAGGAAGAGGTTGAGAAAGTGTTGATGGTTGTGGAGGGGAATTTGAAATGATTATTGGTTCTGTTTCCAGATTGGATAAAACTGAATTAGTTGTTGATGAATGTTTGGAAGTAGTTGATGGTTGCACAGCCAAGTTAGCTACAGAAGTTAATGATGAATGAATGGACTCATTTCTTACATTTGAAACTTCTAACTGTTTCAAGTTGAATGTGGTCTTTCCTGAAACAGTTGATTTCACATTTGATGTCGCTGTTTTTGCGCCCGTTGATGGTGGCAGGCTCGACTTAATTAACACAGGCTGCACTGATAATTTTGGAACAAGGGGATTGGTTGGTGGTGGTAAGGATGACCTGGTCACATTTGACATTGTGATCAAAGAGGTCTTAGCTTTTGAAACAATGGATGAAGGCACAGGCAGACTGGAAACATCTGAAGCCGATGTTGAATGCTCGGTAGTTTTTGTACCATTTTGAACCGTCAATGTAGCAGCAGACGTAAGGAGTGATGTACCAATATGTGTTTGACTGGAGTCGAGTGCGGAGGGTGAACTTGTTTTTGAATTTTGAATTATCTTACCTATTATAGAATGAATGGCTGCTGTTTTGGCAGCTGTGGCTTGAACAGTGTTGTTGGTTCCTGCTGTTGGGACAGGGGTGATTTTGTTGCTGGCTGGGGAATGAAACACTAGTCGACCATGACGCATGAAATGGGGGCCTGCCGAGTTGGAAAGCATGGCATTTTTCACTACATTATCGGATGACTCCTGAAGAGTTGCCGGTGTAGTATGCGGTTGAATAGAAGAGGTTATGGGGGTCGTCTGGACATAAGATGTAGAGGCTGTACTGTCAACAACTATTGTTTTCAACAAAGATTTAGCTCTCGGTTGAATTGCCACAGGAGTTTGAGTTGTTATTTCACCCACTTGCAGTTTAACATTTTTCAACGCTTCAGGTTTGCGAAGTTGAAGTTTGTGCAATTGAAATGTGTTTGAAGTTTGCTCAGGGTCACGAAGAATAAAGCCTAGAGTCTGCATTATTTGTGTGTCTGCAACTTTTAAACTTGTTTGATTCTGCGTTGGTCGGATAATTATTTTACTAACTTTTTTAACTTTCTCATCAGACTTTTTTGAAACTTCAAAACATCCTGCGAGTGGGTCATCTGTCACATTTGACGGATTTGATCCATTGGTCATCAAATCCCTGTGTCCAACAGAAGTGGATATATTTTCAATTTTCCCATGGCTGTCTGAATTAATTTTCATTGACCCAACAGCTTGAAGGGAATCAGTTTTTGACAAAAAGCTGTTCTCAGAAGGCATTACCACAGTTTCTGAAATTGACAAAGAGCTGTTCTCAGATGCCATTACTCCAGTTTCTGAAATTGATAAAGAGCTGTTCTCAGATGTCATTACTCCAGTTCCTGATATTGACAAAGAGCTGTTCTCAGATGTCATTACTCCAGTTCCTGATATTGCCAAAGAGCTGTTCTCAGATGTCATTGCTCCAGTTCCTGATATTGACAAAGAGCTGTTCTCAGATGTCATTACTCCAGTTCCTGAAATTGACAAAGAACTGTTCTCAGATGTCATTACTCCAGTTCCTGATATTGACATAGAGCTGTTCTCAGATGTCATTACTCCAGTTCCTGAAATATCTGCTTTTCCATGAGTCGATTCATTTAAATATGAAGACTGAATTGATGCCGTTGGGTTATCATTTTTCAAATTGATTTGATTTTCTGACATCTCCGGTTTATTGGCTGATGTTAAAAACGATGGTGAATAAAGTATTGATTTTTGAAGATGATAGTCTCACTATGATATGCTTTCTATGCTGACAGCAGTTATATTCTCTTTTAGTCTGCTTCCCATGTCAAAAAATTATAGTCTTGTTGAAAAATGTTTGGCAAGCCTGTAAAGAAAACCAAAGTAAATAATCATGTGTTTAAATAATATAATTTAGACAGCCCATACAAATTGTTTATGTTTTTCTAAAATACATAATAACATGAATACAAATATCTGTTAATTAAGTCAACTGGTAGAATAAAGCAATGCTAAAGAGATCAGACGGTAAAATAAATGTTTCGATTGGTCTGTTTCATGCCCAAACTTTAATGTTATCAGTTAAATTAATTAAAATTTGCATACAAAAAAAAAGTAGAATATATATATATATATATAATTAAACAATAAATAAAAAATAAACAAATGCTGCCCACACCTAAATTTTTTATTGTTATTTAATGAATATAATCTATTTAGTTAATTAATACATTAAATAATGTAGAAAAAGTTATAATCTATAAACTACTACTACTAAGCCAAATGACAGAAAAAGATGCATTTTTTTTTTTTACTATGATGTGGACTGGACAAAAAATTTGTTAATTAAATTTTTTCACAAAATTTGAACAGTAAACACATTATCATGTAATATAAATGGAACCCCCCCCCCCCCACACACCCTTTTTTTTTTTAGTAGACTTAAGTAGTACACTAGTAGTACACAAAATATTTCAAGTCAACTGTGACTTAATTATACTTATACATAATTTATAATAAAGTTCAACATCTATATCATCATTCACTCAACATTTCAAATAACTTAATGAAAAGAATGTAGGTCCAATTTCAATAATTTCATTTCTAATTGATAACATTTTTTTTTAGGTCAATTAGGCTTAACAGTAAATAGTTGACTTTAATTTTCTTTAACTTTTATCTATCCTATCTAAAAAAAAAACAACCAGTCCAACAACATATCAATTATAATCAATCATAATAAATGATGATAAATGAATCATAGTGGCCTTGCAGCCTATCATTTTATTTCTATGGCATGGCATGAACAAGACAAAAAAATCACTAGGTATTACTCTATATATATAATTATGTATTTATAATTATAAGCCTCATTGCTAATTATATTAAATTAAGTTGTTTTATTAAGGAGTCTAAGAATTCTATGTAGGTCTTAGTCTTCTGAGTCTAATGCTTATTACGCCTACGCCTACAGTCACCCACTACACAGTCTACTGACTACTGCTACTCTCACTGATTCAAAAGTTATTTTATGATTATGCCAGTAGGCGTAGGCCAACTCGGAAACGCATCAACAAAAATGGCGTATTAACCATATTATACTATAGGCCTACACATTCACGTAACTTCCTGACCTATATTGTATTGTTGTCATAGAACCAACGTCATCATGGAAAGAAGGTCAATACTCCGATACTAGAATGTAATTTATTGAATTCATGTCAAAAATTTAGTTACTTCCTGTTTTAATTTTTACCGCAGTTTAAGGATTTCCGGTATGATTTTTAAAAAAAAAAGAGAGAGCAACACGTGGGGGTCAACACCTGAGTGTTAATTATTCAATCTTGGACTAATCAAAGATGGACAACTAAAATTCATTATTTTTGATTTACAAAAAAACCAACACAAAAAAAAAAAAAAAAAAATTTAAAGGGATTATACAAACGAATACGAGCTCAAACACTTCCAAATAAATTGTTATCGGTACCAATTAAAAAAATAAACTAAAAAAAAATATTGCAAAAACACAAACATGTGGCTCACCCTGGTGTCGCGTTTCGGCTATTATTGAGATTAATTATTACGTAACATATTCTTTCTTTCGGGTGGGTAGAAATTGGCACCCCATCGCTAAACAAAGGCAACGGGAAAGATGTTTGCTAAATGTAAGCCTATGGGACTATGGTCATGGAGAGTTATTTTAATTCTACACCAGAAGCGCTAGTTCAAGAACCTTAGCAATGTTATCAATGTTTGTTGCAAACAGAGCAATACGGATACGATGTATATATTACATTTGAAAAACTTTTGAAGACCTACGCCTGCCAAAGTAAGAATAGTAAGTTTAGTAGGCTATTGTATCACTCAACCCACCAGCGTCTGTTATGGACGCACACTTCACAACTTTTCTCTAGGCCTAGGGCAGCCATTATCGCCGGCCTGAATCTAGGTCAACCAGTGACGTCGTGCCACGCCGCAAACTGGGGGGGACCGGATGCCGCTTACTATTTTTTTATATTTTGTTCCGATGGGTTTATAATTTATATTTAAATATAGTTGAAGCCTAACTTTGAGGAAGATTAAGTCTCCTTTTGACAGACATCTATAATAACGAAACTTTAGATATAAATGTCTTGAATTTGAAGCTATACCGAAGACCCCAATGTAGACTGGGTCTTTTTCTTTCTTTTTTTTTTTTTAAGAAGATATTGAAAACGACAATCTCTGTGAGTTCACAAAAGTGTACATTGTACAATCAGCCTCGTCCCGAGGCCATGTACACATAAATATCAAGACAGAAGTAAAGCCTAACTCTATTAGGTACGTGATGTACACGATAAATAATGGGCTGGTCCACTGCTCAAGCATTAAACAGAAACATTGCAAATCTGCTCCACATGCATAGGCGCCAGAATGATCAATACATTGATCGTGGGCCCTTAATATTTAGAAGAAGAAGAAGGAAAGACCTTTTATTTTCGGGGAAAAGTATATTGGATTGGTGAATATCATGTGTGCTTTCATATCATTTGATGTTGTCATGGTTTGGCTGAGTAAACATGGATCGGATGACATTACCGTGAATTGAGGGGAAAGAATTTATTCAGAGTAAAAGCATACATTTTATTTTAAAAACTATATTATTGGGTATGTTTTAATTAACCCTACTTAATTTACTGGAATCGAGTTTAGAAACAACTAACATGATTTTGGAACCCTATCGGTAAAAGTAGGTGGCAACCATGGGCAAGCTACTCCGATTGTCAAAAATTTGAACATATCCCATATGATAGGGTTTGACATTTCTAAGACCGGAAAACGTCACATCGCATTGCGTAATGTTACTAATTTTAGACAATGTCTTCGTAAAACATAGCCTCTTACAATGTATTTCGCCATTTATATAGCAGTTACACTTCTTCTTTTTTTTTTTTGCAAAACACTTTCGTAAAATAAAGTTGTCAACACGTTTTCGCCTAGGTTAAGACCCAAGATGTTGACTCGCTTACACATTAGACAATGTCTGCGTAAAAAATAGACTATTACAATGTATTTCGCCATTTATATAGCAGTTACACTTCTTTTTTTTTTTTTTTTGCAAAACACTTTCGTAAAATAAAGTTGTCAACACGTTTTCGCCTAGGTTAAGACCCAAGATGTTGACTCGCTTACACGTAGACGAACCGAAAAGCTGTTGAAAGATTGACCAAACGGAGCACCAGGATGTTTTATTAATATCTTAATGAGATTGGCCATACCGTACTTCCGTCTGTTCTATTAATAGATTTCCGCCATTCAATGACAACTCCTGCTATCAAAGAACACAGACTAACATTCACGAGCAATCAGCGGCTAAGCTTGGACTGTGTCACCCGGGGCTAGCCAAGATTTTTTTTCCCACTCTTCCAATTAAAAAAAAAAAACTCTACATTTGGCCGAAAATGACGCCCCTTTATTTAAAGAAAAATGTGGCACCCGGCGCGGTCCGCCCCCTCTGCAATCCCCATTCCAACGCCACTGCGTGCGATTTCTGTGTGGTGCAGTTGGATACAATTACCCGGTAGTATAAAGAAAGTCTGGGATTCTAATCCCAGAACGCATCATATTAAACAACACCACCACCACCGCCAACACTAATAATCCCGTAGAATGCACCGACCAACACTGTCAGATCTCAGATGAATTACACACAAACAGTTTGTGTCAATAAAACAATAGATGTTCATCTTTAATGGCGATTGTGCACAATAAAAATGTAAACGCTACGGCGCATGTCTTCATTAGGGAAAACAACAACAACAAAACAACAACAAAACAAAAAAACAACAAAAACAACAACATTTAAATAAGTATACATTAAATGAATAATCTAACAACAGACCGTGGAATGTACTGACTGACTAAATGTAGATCTCAGCCTCCTGTGCTCATCCACCCTTCGAAGCAAGAAGCCCACCCGTGGGACAACATCCTAGTCTCTTACTTCTTCACACGGACCAGTGCAGCCGACATCAACACAGCAAACACTGAATATCTTGATATGAGTCAAATGCTGTAAGTTTGTTATACATCGTCAAAACCTGCCGGAGCAATGTACCCGAACAACTCAACTCGTAAACAAATCAACGCTCTCCTTTGAAAATATATTCAGGCGACATCCTCAACACACAAACACAAGCCACGCCGTGAATATCACACAACGGCCATTCCTGCATTACCGGCACCGGGTATATCAACACTAAAACGCACGCATCATCTTCCCTTATCCAAATACGTCACAACAATCGCACACAATTACACACGAAATCTCTAAACTAAACATCCTTTTCCATTCCAAACATTACAACAGTAATCTACACATAACAGTGATTCTCATTTCCTTGAATGGACCAAACTCTGCAATCTAACAACAGACCGTGGAATGGCCTGACCAAACTCTGAAATCTAACAACAGACCGTGGAATGGCCTGACCAAACGCTGTATTCTAACAAAAAATGTAACAAGAGAGAATATAAGCGTCAAATAACTTATGACTACTACCCTTGCATGGACTCATAGAAGTAGACGAGTGTACTAATAGCCGAGTTAGTAATGAAGCTGGAGGTGACACTGTCATATTGGTACGGTAGCTTAATCGTGCACATGATGTTTTCACCAATCTCAGCTTCTGATCGCACGACAATTCTTCAGTTTAGATTCGGAACAATGTATGCGCACTCCGTAACATTGTATGCACACTCGGGGGACAATATATGCACACTCCGAAACGATGTATGCTCACTACGGAACATTGTATGAACCCCCTGGAACATTGTATGCACACTCTGGAGCAATGTATGCAAACTCGGTAACAACGTATATTCACATTCCAGAACATTGTGTGCACACTCCAGAACATTGTATGCATACTAGGGTAAAGTAAATCAATAGATGAACACAATTTGATACTTCTGAGTTAGCTGCCCACATAAAGGTATATGGAATAATCGTCAGCACTCAACTTGGCTTAAACATAAACTACGGTACAGGTACGCATTTATTCTCCCAAAAGAAAGGTATACCAAACGTTACTGACCGTTAGGAGCATGATCTTTTGTTGAGCGGGACCAAGCAAATAAATTCACTTGAATAACATTGGTACTTTTTGGTCAGAGTTAGAGCTTGTCCATGGAGATCTCGCTGCAAGTATCGGGTACCAATCAAATAGCCTTTAAAAAACCACGGCTTTGCCTAACGCCCTGTCATTGAATATGTGGCCATACATATGAGAGAGGGGTGTGGTTGATGATTTGCGATGTTTAGTTCATTTAGCGTATGGGATAAGATGTCCTCGGGAGAAAGTATGTATGGTATAATTATGGGCAAATTACGCAATAATGATACTAAAATTCTGACAGTCCATAAATGGGCTTATTTACATCTAACTAAGCCACCTGACACATGAAAATCTGGGAAATTTGAAACCCACAATTGCAAATTATGTTCAAAGGCTTTAATCATAAAACTATAGCATAACGTTTGGTCATTATCGTCATACGGTTACTTTGTGTTTTATTTTAAAAAAATGCGCTCGCTAGTCCAAGATTGCGTGACGTAATTTCTTTGTTTGGCCAGCACAGTGGGTCCTAGTAGAAGTTTTTTTGTTTTTTTTACTTTTCGGTGCCTTGCCGAATTTAGGTTTACCCCAGGCGCCCGATGTCTAATTCTTACAATTACACTTCAAAATAGCGGATATATATTTTTAAAAAAATAATTGAAGGCTCGTAAAACAAGCATTAAGGTCCTAAGCGCCATCTATTAACCACATGTGGGAGCTTCTGCAAACATTATTCACTCAAATTACGGCACCGGTACTCAAGCGAGTTACTGGTCTGCACCTGGTCCGCTAAGATTCGTGTTCAATCACATTGGATTGAAAATTATGAAAAATTGTTTTATATTTCGAGAAGCTATGTGTGAGGTACCCATGGATCAACAGGGCGACTTTTAACAAAAAAATACATGCCTGTTGTAGACTTTTAAATTTTGTTGATTTAAATCTATATTTGATATAGGGTTTGTGATTTCTCAGACCGCAAAACGTCATAGCGTTTTTATTTTTAGAACGTTGGACAAATATTCCTTATAACATGGCAGCTAATACTACTAGTAGTGTGTTTCAACAAATCGTTGGGACGATCCTTGTTTATAAGAGTCACTGTTAATAATGCCGTACGCGCAATGAAATCTCATTTCACAAAATAGCTGTAAAAAATTGTGTAGAATATTTCGTAAAATATTTTGTTTTTGATTTAGGTTAAGGGCCCCTTCGCTGACACAGGAGTACTGAACAGTGTTAACATTTTGTCCGACCCACAGACCCGGATGATTACAGCAGTACTAATAATAGATTTCCGCCATTACATGACAAGCCCTGTTAAATCCATTTGGTTCACAGAAGATGCAATGGATTAGTAATGAGCTGTGCAGTGGAGGGCAAATGGTCGAATTACCTTAACTATGGATATTTAAGTACAGATCACTTTCCACAGGGATATCTAAAGTCAATTAATAAGCCCATTTTCTTTGTTGTTTCCAATCGTTGGCCTATACTTTTCTTAAGTCTATTATAGACCACAATTAGTAACAATTGCAATCAATGCAAATTATAATAATGAAGAGGCATAAGAGAATAGTAAACCTCAGCAATTTATAATTGTAATTTTTAAAGTTAATTTTTGGGGGGCACTCTGGGATATTAAAAAATCACACTATTAAAGCAATAGACACAAGGTCGCGGTGACATTTAAAATCAATGACATCAAGGTTAAACAGAAGTAAAAGCCGAGGAAAACGTATAAGCAAGAGAAGAGTTCATCACGATTACAAGTATAACAAGAGAAAGTATAACTGCAAAAAGTACTCTAATAAAGCCTTTAAATTGGTTAAGGTATCACAAAGTTGGAGAGATAAAACGTAATAAAACATTAAATGCATACATTGCAATTCAATATTGAAGCATCTTACAATGTTTCAGAGTATCTAAATATCACGCCTGGTAAATGACGTCATCAATGAAAAAAAACACTATTTGGACATTAACGTTTTGTAGCAATAAAACCTTAGCAATCTTAAAAGTCATTTCCCCGGCCCTTAGATAATCACTTACATCCTCTGATGTTGCCTTCTTGACCTCAGTAGGAATCATACATTTGAGCTAACTCGAATTCCATAGAATACTGCGCATTAATCTGCACAATGTTACCAAGATGGCGGTTTACATTTCCTTCCTCCTGTTCATTACCCACGAGTCAATTCAGTTTATCCGGAAGTAGCTAGCGCCATGCTGTGGGCGAAACATTTCGTCAATACACTCTCACTCAGTGCAAATATATATTATATATAAAATAATGTGCATTTTGCTTTTTAAATTTTCAGGTGTTTATTTATAATGTAAAAATAAAATTATCGTATAAATAACTCGATTAAAGATGGAATAAATATAATTTAAATCGACTAGTTAATACTACTGAGGGGCTATAGATATAAATAACTAAGTTCTCCTTCACACACCCCGATTTCTTTTCACCCATCGCGGCAGCTTGCGCGAAAGCGACTGTGGCAAACTAGGTCACATATCGGCGGGCGTGTTGGTGTGCTATTTTTAGATAGCTTAAACTAAGAACGAACTTCCTGTCGTTATTTTCATTATTAAAGGCTTTTATTTGTATTATGAACAAATTTAGTTTTCAGCATTTTAGTGAAAATTATTGCTTAGATAATGTAAACTTTTATTAAAAAAACATGTATCGTAACTTAATCCGAAATAGATTTTTGTTTTCCATTACGACATTAGAAATAGTTTATTCCTCGTGGAGATATCATTTCAGGCAATATGGCCGCTGTCATCGTTGGGGGAAATGGGGAAAAACCGAAACCAACATCTGTGTTACTGACACTATAAAAAAAAATCTCTCAGAAGTACAAATGATAAAAGCAACAATGTAATAAAAATAATATTAATAATATTAATAGTCACATTTTTATAAAGTTAAACAACTAAAGATCATAGCCTACTGAGAAAAAAATGGGAAGATGATAAAATATGTCACAACGACATTTAATATACCAATGGACCAATTATTGTTGTTTTCACTATTTTATTTATTTCGATCGAGTGATTCTCAAACGGTTTATTTCATTGGCGTACACTTTTAAGAATTTGAGTATTTCAATGTCTTAGATTTTGTGGCTCGGAATAAAGATACAATGATATTAGATCAAAGTCACAGGGTTTAAGTTATTTTGTACCACGAAAATAATTACCGTAATTTGCAAATCCCATTACGTAATACTTTAGGAGTATAACACTTTAAGGCTTAGCCACTTTAATTCTAAAACTTCTCGTATGCATATTGCTTCTGGTGTGGCTGCTTCATTTTCACAACATCCTACTCAACATGTTTTATAGTAATAGTACTGAGTGAAAATAAACTGTTAAAAATACTGTCAAGCAGCGAGCGTCATGCTTGACGGTTGAACTCAACTAAGAAGGTTGAATTTTTTGGGGAGGTGACTATTATATTATTCAATAAAGAGCCACGGGTATGGTGTAGGTCTGTCTGTAGAAATGTCTGTAGGCCTATGGTTTAAAGGCTAGCGGGTAGAGTGCAGGGCCGTCATTGGGCCTATTGTTTAAATGCCGACAGGTAGGGTGCATGCCTGTCTGTAGGCATATTTTTAAAGGTCAGCAGGTAGGGCGTAGGACTGCCAGTAGGCCTATTTTTTTAAAGACCGGAAGGTGGGTTGTAGGACTGTCTGCAGGCCTACTTTTAAAGGCCGGAAGGTAGGGTGTAGGTCTATTTATAGGACTATTGTTGAAAGACCGGCATATTTTAAAGAAAAGGAGAAGTTAACTTTTATTTTGTAATATTTGGACCCCACGGGTATTTTCTCAAAATACCCGGACCGGGTGTAAAAAACTGCCCACCGTTAAGCCCTAATTATGTAGAGATCCTCATAAAAGCCAAATGCTCCTCGCACACTGACTGATGACGACATCTCAAGAACGACAAACAGTATTGAGTTGATATTTCGCGTTGTGCAGGGCCGATAGAGGGTGCGGGGCCTCGAGTAAACACATTTTGTTGGGCCTTTGATGTGTTATACCCCGGCCGACGTCATATTAAAACACGCCATACTGCGTATCACTGGTCAAGATGGGACACGTGATTCCAGATATTTTTTCCATCTGTTTAGTTTCCGAAATGTCTTAAAAAAAACAAACAAACTGTAACAGTTTAAATACAATGAGCCAAATTACGAATGGTGGCTCGTTTGTTGTTAACCTGATTCTGATAGACTACGGTGCTGCAACCAAGTACTGGTATATGTGCAGCGGTTGGGGAAACGATGCGGTCATCCTAACCGCTCCTAGCGGGTGCCAGGGCAGCCTTGAAACTCTCGATTGATGTCGAGTCCACGGCGGCATTGTCCAGCTGGTTCCAATCAATTATTGTTCATAGGAAGAATGATTGTTTATATTGAACTGTGTTACACCGAGCATTTATCATTGTTCCGGATGTAACTGTTCATGGAGTTGTCAGAGGTGAAGTAAGTGTTTATAGATCGTTTGCCTCTAATTAAGCGACCTGGCTTCTGCGGGGTTAGATACGTGTTAGCTGGAATGGCCGGCATTAGCCCCATGACCACTTTATATAGGAATGTTAGGCGGAGCTTTTCTCTTCTGTCTTTGAGGGAGGGGAAGTCCAATCTTTTTAAGACATCAGTGAGGAAGCCAGGAGTGGTGGCGTAGTAATCACTTGCGATGAAGTGCACTGCGTTACGTTGTATTCGCTCCATTTTGTCCACGTCTTGCCAGATTCACCATGTAGCGGACGGACGGGTGCGAGATAGGCATTTCGTTTGCAGGATGTTGGGCAGTGGCGCAGGATTCTTAGAATGAAACCAAGCGTGGAGTTGGCTTTTTTTTCTGCACCATGTGGAACTTCTGAGTCTACTTTGTCTTTGCTTGATCGGGCGCCATCCACCCACTACTTGCATGGTACGCTGTTTTAGGAATGTTGAGAGCCACGAGTGAAGATTGCCGGTAATGCCGTAGCGGTAGAGTTTATGTAGAAGAAGGCTGTGTGGAACATGGTTGTCACAAAGTTGAAAGAGTTGAAAGAGTTGCACGCTCTTAAAGAGGCTGCATACTGTAAAAAATAAAATATATATATTTTTTCTAGAAACTAATCAGGGGAGATATTTAAAGAAAAACGAGTTTTTTGTTTTTGTTAACTGTCAGGGGTGCTAACAATGTCTCGTTAAATTGACAATATTGACAACCCATTCAATCGAACCTGAGACATTGACGATTTCTGGTAAGCTTTCATCAATTTATTAATTTTGATAATTTTTGCAAACGGTACTGGTACTGTTAAAATCATTGTTTACGCGATCGTCATACTCAGGAAAGAATCTGCCAGCGGCTAAAGCAATAGAAGACACCGTAGTGATGTCTGTACTTCTCGTGGAATAATGTGTCAAGGTCTTCAGCTCTTCTGGTAAGCCCGAAAAATGTATATCCCGCGAATCACCACCTCTTAACGCGATGTCCCAATCCACAAAGTCTCTGAACAGGTTAACCAGAATCACGGCACGGCGTGTCTGAGTGTCACGTAGAAAGTCAGAAATATCAAAGTTGCAGTTGTTAGAAAGGCGTCTTTTCAAGATTCCCAACGTCTGGTCGAATTACCACATGCATTTTTCTATCATGTTAGATTCATCAGAAGTCTGCTATGTAACGTCTATAGATTCATTAAAAGTCTGCTGTGTAACGTCTTTAGATTCATACTCAAATGCCCCTTTCTTCGCCTATTGTGGGTCAATGCTCGTTTCCGATGCAAGTCATTCCCTAAATTTGGCAAAGAAACGGATTAGACCTTCGTTAATTTGCAAAGGCTGCATCCGATTGGAAAGTTGAGGTCTGCAAAAACTTGCTGACTGTGTTGACAGTAAACAGGACGTTTAACCATGTGGACATAGCAAGGAGAACTTTGTGTGTAAATCGGGAAGACCCGCGAGAGCTCTCTGACGACGTATTTCTTTTCCCGATTCCCGTTTACGTCGTCGACGTTTCCAATCTGCTTCGAAAAGCGCCAACTGTATTGTTTGTAATCTGTATCGAATAGCGCCAACTGCATTGTTTGTAATCTGTATTGAATAGCGCCAACTGTATTGTTTGTAATCTGTATTGAATAGCGCCAACTGTATTGTTTGTAATCTGTATTGAATAGCGCCAACTGTATTGTTTGTAATCTGTATCGAATAGCGCCAACTGTATTGTTTGTAATCTGTATCGAATAGCGCCAACTGTGTTGTTTGTAATCTGTATCGAATAGCGCCAACTGCATTGTTTGTAATCTGTATTGAATAGCGCCAACTGCATTGTTTGTAATCTGTATTGAATAGCGCCAACTGTATTGTTTGTAATCTGTATTGAATAGCGCCAACTGCATTGTTTGTAATCTGTATTGAATAGCGCCAACTGCATTGTTTGTAATCTGTATTGAATAGCGCCAACTGCATTGTTTGTAATCTGTATTGAATAGCGCCAACTGTATTGTTTGTAATCTGTATTGAATAGCGCCAACTGTATTGTTTGTAATCTGTATCGAATAGCGCCAACTGCATTGTTTGTAATCTGTATCGAATATCGCCAACTGCATTGTTTTAATCTGTATCGAATAGCGCCAATCATATTGTTTATAATCTGTATCGAATAGCGCCAACTGTGTTGTTTGTAATCTGTATCGAATAACGCCAACTGTATTGTTTGTTGCCAAATACATTCATGTGTGTAGTAGTGTCTCAAGAAGTGTCTCAAGATAATTTGTTTTATCAGAGTGCCAAGAGAACCAGTTTAAAGAGGAAATAACGGTATATCGAAATAATGCAACACAGTTCAAATCGTTTTCTCCCCTGCTAACAGCGTTAGTTGCAGACGGTCGTACGCACATTTCTGAAGCAGCTTATGGTAGTTTCATCAGGGCTTTATTTGACCCACCCGCACCCAGTCCCATCATCCTAGTGACCCCCTCCCCCCCCCAACTCCATAGAAAGATGCCCAAAAAGAAAAGTGGTTGCAAACAATAAACACATGAAAATAACGATAATATGTCAACAACGAAAAGGAGAGGTGCGGCATATAATCGGGAGCGGCCTATTTTTGGAACAATACTGACCGTATTTAGAATCGAATAGTGAATCACTGAATCTAGATTTGTATGAAATATTCAGA